TGCTCAAATTTTCTGCGGAGCATCTTTATCGATAGCCGACTTACAACTTCCCCTTACTAGTAGATTAAGTTCCCCACCTACAGAAATTTTAAGAATTAAAAAAAGAAAAAGGGATTGGGAAACTAGATTCCCAAACCTACAGAGTATGTGCATCCCATACAAACAGATCGTATCAAACGGTGACGAGACACTGACTGGCATCCATACCTTGAATTGTACCAGTCCATACGTACATACATACATACATACATAGTAACATGCATTCCTCTTATTCTTGATAGCCCCCCCCCTCCTTCTTTCGACCATTTTCCCACCTGACAAGAAACCCGCTCGCCGTAGGAGCAGCTTAATCACCACCTCAACCACATCGTCCCTCTCCGCCATCGTCACCCTCTGCCTCCACCATCGTGAACAACCACTTTTCCTCCCTCCCTTTTTCCTTTCCAATTTTTTTTTTTTTTCCTTTCCTTCCCCTTTCTTCTTCCTTCCCCCCACTAAAATCCGTACGACTCTTCAATTTTCAATTTTTCCTTCTCCCCCGTTTCTTCTTGTTCACTTTACAATTTGTTCTTATCTATATGAACCTTTGTCCTTAATATCCTTCATTTTCTCCATTGGGAGCCCTTATTATAGAAGAGTCACCACCTGCCGCTTCGAGTTTCTATACTTGGACACTCCTTTCCTTCGGGCCCCTCCCCTCCGGTACGCCACGCCGAGCCGGACTCATCGTTGCCGCGCAGAGTAGCCGAACGTCGACTACATGCTGGTGCTGGTGCTGTAGCAGGTCTATCGCCCGGACATTTTTGTACTCGCCCGTCAATCCCACCGCTGTCCGGCACACGGTTGTCTCGCCAGTCGACTTGCTTGGCTGTCATTACTTTCATTCCACTCAAATTTCGAGAGTAATGCAGACCCATTCGTGCGCAGCATCAGAGCTTCCTATCGGCTCGCCCTAAATCGAGCGGTTCAGTTGAGAAAAGGTAATACAAAATAATTTAAAAAAAAAAAATATTATAAAAAATACGGGAGGAAACAAAAGGGTGGGATAAGAGCGTCAAAAACAGGGAGTAGAGAGGGGGCCACAAAGAAGAGGATGCTCTGTTACAACTAGAACAGAGTTGGTTCGAATATTTGAAGACATGAAAATGACTGATCGGCCCCCTTCAGTATCCGGTCTGGAGGAACCCATTCATTACCTTGCCCGAAATGGCCATATATCGGACAGCACCCGCAGACAAGCCCGGGACAAGCCCCGTGAGGGCTCGGAATCGTCGCAATCGTCAACAGACGTCGATGGGAAACAGTCCGTGACCAGGCCACCCACCGCCAAACTTCCCCTCCAGAGCGATCTGGCAGACGGTCAAACCGCTCTTCGTCACCCGTTCTCCTCGCATCTCTACCATTCCTCCAGTACCTCGCGATCACCCTCCACCAGAACGTCTTCGAGTTCACTTCAAGCATTGAACGAGAATATTGTTGTAGATGCTCGGTCGGATCTCGGCGCGATCGGACGGGGTCCCCTTCCTCGGAGGAGCTCCCATTTGGGGCAGTCGGATACTCAATCGCCCGAATACCCAGTCTATCCCGATCAATCCTACGCTGTCCTCCAGTCCCAAGTCCATCCTACTTTTCAGCATCCGTCTCTCCGTTCGCGGAACTCCTACCCGTCGCGAATCGAGGTTCTTGGGCGATTTGCCCCGTCGCGTGCCTCTCGTACAGCAGGAAATACCCCGGCGTCTAGTCCGGGGCTATTCTCTGTTCGTCACCCTCTTCGGTCAACCTCTTCACTCGTATCAGATGATGAAGGCCACATCAGTAGCCCTTTCCTTCATCCGACCCATCTCCAGCCACCGAAAGAGTAAGTTTCCTTGAGATGCCTTCTTTAATCTGTCGTGGCTAACAGGTATTCCCAGGACACATACAGCTGAAGTGGACAGAGACACTGTGACCGGAAACAAAGTTATTAATCAATATGAGATTCTGGAAGAACTCGGACGCGGTGAACATGGGAAGGTGAAACTAGGGAGACACGTGGGCACTCGCCAGAAGGTCGCCATCAAGATTGTCCAACGGTATTCGAAACGACGCCGCCTAGGGAAGCTTGGTAATCCCGAGGACAAAGTTAAGAAGGAAGTTGCGATCTTGAAGAAGGCTCGGCATCCGAATGTGGTTAGCCTCCTAGAGGTGATCGATGATCCAAATCGCCAAAAGGTATACATCGTCCTGGAATATGTTGAGAATGGTGAAATCATCTGGCGGCGACGAGGCTTGCGTGAAATCGTCCATGTGGATAAACGTCGACTGGAGCGCGAAAAAGCAGGCATTCCCGATTCCCCCTCGTTCATGGAAGAATGTCAGCAGTATGTCCGGACTGCACAGCATCTCCGCCGCCAACGCGAAAAGGCCCGGGAGCGACTTCAAATTCAGGCCGCACACGCTCAGGAAGGCCCTATTCCAGCCTGGAGTTTAGAACATGGAGCGGAGTCAGATGATGAATTAGGTCCCGAATTGACGGTCACTCGTACGCCGAGCGGTTCTAAGACGACCCATGAAGACTTTCAGTCCTCTCCCAGCCATTCCTTCCATGATGCGGCCTTGGCTGCGGTGGAGGGCAGTATGTACGGGCCTTATATGGATTATCCCTTCGAAAGACGGTTTAGCACAGCGTCGAGTAGCTTTGGGCACGCACCTTCGGAACCTGAGTGGACGCCCGACGACGACGATATGTCTTATGTTCCCTGTTTGACACTCGATGAAGCACGCAACGCTTTCCGAGATTCCTTGCTCGGTCTCGAGTATCTCCACTATCAGGGTATCATTCACCGGGATATCAAGCCTGCAAACCTCCTGCTCACCAGCAACTACCGTGTTAAAATATCGGACTTTGGTGTATCTTACCTAGGGCGGCCCATGAGGGACGAGGACGAGGAGCAACTGGGAGAAACCGATGCGACTGAGCTGGATGACGCTCGGGAACTTTCTAAAACTGTTGGAACGCCCGCTTTCTACGCTCCTGAGCTGTGTTATACCGGTGAAGAGTTCGTCGATGCCCTTGGGTCCGCCCCGCGGATTACCGGTGCTATCGACGTTTGGTCCCTTGGCGTAACTCTCTATGGGATGATCTTTGGGCGCTTGCCATTTGTCTCCGATGATGAATACAGTATGTTTCAAACGATTGTGAAGAAGGAAGTCTTCATCCCGCGCAAACGCCTGAAACCTGTTGAAGATGATCCCGACACCGTCGGTCAATGGCCTCGTTATGCGGATGTCGATAAGCGAATGGAAGATGAGCTCGTGTATGAGGATATCGACGATGAGTTGTTTGATTTGTTGAAACGCCTTCTAACGAAAGATCCGGTGAAGAGAATCACCGTGAAAGAGATCAAGCATCATCCTTGGGTCCTGGATGGTCTACCCAACCCCAGAGCGTGGGTAGAGGAGACCGATCCAGCGTATCTGAGTAAAGGCAAAAGGATCGAAGTGTCTAATGAAGAAGTTACAACGGCTGTGAGCAAAGTACCGTTTATACAACGTGTGCGATCCAATGTTGCCAAGTGGTCGAACTACCTTACCGGGAGGTCGAAGGATAAAGATCCTCGCAAGCGTACTTCCAGTGTGGCTCCCTCAGTCGAGTCTTCCTCCAATTCAAGTACCAATAGTTTTGGGAAGTACCTTTGGGACAGTCGTCGTGCTAGTCTCAGGGATGAAGACTTTTTGCGGCCACCCCGTCTAAGCAAGGATGGCGAGCATCCCCTCTCGCAGAGTGTCACCGCAAGTCCGGTGGGTCGGGATGAGCAAACTTGTTATTTCGAGGGAGCCCTGATGAGTTCACCCATATCGCTTGATCGGACCCCACGACCTGAGCCACCAGAGCGTGCCGTATCTACGTTGTCCACGGCCGAATCTGCAAAGACGATAAAGGCAACAAATTTCAATTCCACTCCCGCGCCCCAAAGAACCGTTACCCCCGCTCGTATGGAGACCTCAGGGACTACAAACGTCGGCGGCCTATTTGGCGGTGCAAGCCTCCGACTTGCCAGAGGCATCCAGTCGGGAGAGCGGCGCTCCGATAGATCGGTCTCCGAGACTGCGTCCTTGGATGGGGACCGTCACTGCGAGCCCACCTTGGCGTTGAGCGTTGCATCTGCGACTGGCCAACACTCTAATCTGCTGCCAGAGGAGGACGTATCCTTGTTACGGGTGGAAGGATCGAACACGATACCTTCAGGTCACCGCCGCAACCGCTCCCATCAACTGCCGGGCAAGTCTCTAACTGAGCCTTTTCATCTCACCAAGGAAGCCTTGCTACGCCAGCGACGGAGTGACATTGAACCTCCGACTAATGGACTCAAACCCTGTTATCGTAGGGGAAGCGAACCATCTACGAAGGAATGTATCAACCTACGATCCGAGGCGCAGCCCCGAGCTACAGACTCGCTCGGCGAGAATATCTTTTCCGACTCGCCGTCTGGGGGCTTGACTACGTCACCTCCGTCTGCTGCGTCGTCCTCACTCGAGGACTACACCAGTGGTATGTCTCAGAGCGCTTCTCATCCGAGTATACCATCTGTCGCCTCCGGGGTGTCATCGCTTTCGAGTGGAGGTGATACGTCAGGGAAAGATGGCGTTCCAGCAATTCAAGTTCCGTCGATCCTTCGGACGGGTGAAACCGTTAAAGCACAGCAGACAAACCTGGCACGATCCGCGGAGGATGATGAGTCTCGGTATTACTGCGACGATGAAAATGAATCGGAGGATGACTCTGAGGATGAGGGCATTGTCTTTGGGAAGAAGAAGGCAACACCCCAAAAGCCAATCATGCGTGGTTGCACCCTGCCCAAGTCTTGATCTATAGACGCCAGCCTCCATGATTGAAACTATCTCGTTGATGGTCGGCCCGCAGCCGAAGAAAAGTTCCTTTGGATCTTGCTCGCTTCACCGTGCCATTATTTGCGTCACCTCGTATGGTTATATGTCCTCTTTTTCTCATTCCCTTTCCTTTTTTTTTTTTTTTTTTTTTTTTTAACAGCTTGTCATTTTTTTTTTTTAAGGCTTTTTTTTTCATGTATTTTTTTTTTTTTTTGGGTTTACCTTTTTTTTTTTGTTTACCTTCCCTAGCCTACGTGGCATAAACTGGGAAGGACCCTTCTTTGCTTCGGGATGTGCGAGACACTGATCCATTGCTTGTACATATATTTGCATTGACGACACGTCTATATTTGGCTTTCCGTCACCTTGCCCTTGGTCCCTTTATATTTCTCCTGGTGCCGCTCTGTTGGGGAGCCTACGAAAGACGCTAGGTATTCGCTTTTTCTCTTTCGATGCAATTCTCACCTGTGCCTTTTGCGTCTATATATACTTCTGTTCGGTTCGGTGCATTAGGGGTTCGGGGCATCAGTGATTTTTCTTTGTATGTAATGCCGGCATGAGGAGGATACAGTGTGGGATCAGGATACACAGAGTGGTTGGTTCCTTCGGAGAACCCGCAAGACTCATGATCATGTCTTTCCTATTTTGTGTGGGTTGAATGATGATGATGACTAGTAAACGGGGCCTCTCGAAGCCCCTAAGAGAAGTTGCATTTACAACTATATCTGAAATTATGAGAAGAATACAAAGATTCACTGGTTTCGGTGGCATCACAATCTGAAAATTCTGACTTAACTGAACGTAGGTGGAACTTTTACATCCCTCTATGATGCACAATTTCTTCATAGCACTACATACAACTACATTATTTAGTAGTACTACGTTTGTAGCCGGACCACGTTGGATTCGGTACGGATTGTTTGTATATCGGGTCCGGGATGTGATCTCAAAGCCGACATGTTGTCCCACTATCCAACAGGGGTTAATGCATAAAGTGTTGTGGGCACCACTGGGCCGAAATCGAACCCTAAGTTTGTCTTGACTTGTTCTGTTCATACATTCTCTGTGGGATCGACCACGTAACAAGGTTATAGTGAACTCAATTATACTAAAAGTACGAAATCATCCGGATACGCAGGGTGAGTAGCCCCCTGGTAGTGACGAGCTATTGTTTTACTTGAGCTATGGTTCATCTTTCTCGGTGGTCTGATAGCGTTAAAGTCGACTGTAGATCACCGACGAAGGTGAAACAACCATCCGAGCCGGGCCGATATTGTACTTGCTTTCCGTTTTACCTTGTTTCCTGTGCATGATGGGGTAGGCTAGTACGTGCAGATTGAGAATTCTTGATTAAAACTTGGCAATTTTTGCTCGTAAATGAAGGTCATCGGTTATTGTGCAGTGGGAAACGTCGAATCAGAGCACGAGAGACATAGTAGAATACCTACAGTTCAAGTCAGGGTCTATCAAATCATAGTGGAGCCCTACATGGAGAATCGCAGACGGAACACCGGGCATAGTCCATCCACCAATGATATACTTCGGAAACGTTCCTATGGACAATTTATTCCGTGTCGAAGGAAGAGACGGATCCCCGCTATTGTTCTATATTGATTAAATTGCAAGTTCAGGCCATGAGGGGGGAATATTGCCCTTCCTGAAGTAGTTCCTCCGCATTCGTCATGGGAAACCGCGCTTATGATGCCTCAGACTGTCCAAGTTATATAAATCCTTTGGTACTATCCTCGTTGACTTCCTTTTTTCTTTTTTTCCAAGCACCAGACGGGCCTCTTCTCTTTCCTTTTAAGATCGCTCAGTTTGACAGGATCAGCGGTCAAAATGCTCTTCTCCTACCTTGTTGCGACTCTTCCCCTTCTGGCCAACGCCGCCCTCACCTACCGCGGTGCGGACATCTCGTCTGTCTTCATCGAAGAAAAGGCTGGCGTTGCCTACAAGAACTTGGCCGGGGAGACCCAGGCCCTGGAAGCTATCTTGACCGATAATGGTGTCAACTCTATCCGTCAGCGTGTGTGGGTGAAAAATGGCGACTATGACCTGACCTACAATGTCAACCTCGCCAAGCGGGTTGCGGCGACTGGCGCCAGTATTTATCTGGATCTCCATTATAGTGATGACTGGGCGGATCCTAAGCATCAGGTATTGCCCTCCTCCTTCCACCATCGTGTTGATATGTACTGTAACTCCATGGGCGGTAGACTGACAGAAAGTTAGACCACCCCGGGAGGCTGGCCCACCGACGACATCGACGCGCTGGCCGATAAGATCTACCAATACACGCTGAGCGTGTGCAACACCTTCGCGGAGGAAGACATCAACGTGGAAATTGTCTCCATCGGCAACGAGATCACCTCCGGACTCCTTTGGCCGCTAGGCAAGACCCCCAACTATGAGAACATCGCGCGGCTCCTGCACTCCGGCGCCTGGGGCGTAAAGGACTCGACGCTAGCCAAGAAGCCCAAGATCCTGATCCACCTCGACAACGGCTGGGACTGGGAGCAGCAGAAGTACTTCTACGACACCACTCTCGGCACCGGTCTCCTCAAATCCGAAGATTTCGATATGATTGGCGTGTCCTACTACCCCTTCTACAACGAGAAGGCCACCCTTGCCTCGTTGAAGACCAGCCTGACCAACATCCAGTCCACATACAGCAAGGAGGTTGCCGTGGTCGAAACTAACTGGCCCGTGAAGTGCTCTAGCCCTGAGTTCGCCTTCCCCTCGGATCTAACGGACATTCCTTTCTCAGAGGACGGCCAGGTCACCTTCCTGCAGCGGTTGGCGGAGACGCTCACGGCTACCAAGGCCTCCGGTTTCTTCTACTGGGAGCCTGCCTGGACTAAGAACGCGGGGTTGGGATCCAGCTGTGAGGATAATCTGTTGGTGGATTATAACACTAACCAGGTGCGTAGCAGTGTGAAGGCGTTTGGACAGGTGTGATTTTAGCCTTTTTTGGGGATTTTTGTACCAAAACTTAAATTTCAAATGCGTCCGTGCATAGATGTACATATACATAATATATACAACATATCGTATAATTATAGAACAGTAACTAGAGATTGTTAGAAAGTTAACTCAATAATGGTTTTACATCAAGTATCCGAGCGAGAAAGGAAAACAAAAACAAGACAAAGGAAGAAGGGAAAAAAAAATAATAATAATAATAGCTACCCATCAGCTCCAGCCGAAAGACGTAGCACCAACGGTGGCTGTGCAAGAAGACGGATTGTGGTTGAGTTCCACTTCCAGGCGTGAGAAATCCAGTCAGGCCATCAATCCCATTACTAGCCTCGTTTGTTCCGGGAGGCTCAAAGGGTGAAATGAAAGAAGCGAAAGAAAGGGAAGGGAAGGGCAATCGGTGAGAGACCGTCAGGCTGACTTTCTATCCCGAAAATCGCAGTGATAGTCGCTCTGGATAGGTGGTTCCATCCAATCATCGAAGTTGATTGCAAGTTAGGCATAACTCTAGTTGAGAAATTGTGGAGAGGTCCCCATCATGGAAACGAGATATACTCCGTTCTACTAATGATATTAGTAGATACTGATAAGTTAGTTGGGATCCACTGCTTCGTACTTAGACGAGTTCATTAAATCTACCCCGTGCATCGTCGTTTATTTCGCGCACAATGATTTATGATGTTCTTACTTTTTCTTTAGTTGTAGCTGTGTGTTCCTTGGAGTTTGTTTCTATTAAATAAATAATTACTATGCTCATGTTGGTCTGGTTGTGATAGTATGAAGATTAGGGCACTCGACGGTCTGTATCGTCCAATACATACCATACATCACAACCCTATCATGATCTGTACAGGTACTACTAGTAATGACATATGATGGATCTAATGATGTATTCTTGCCATGTTGTCGTCAGGCACCGTCATATGCTAAGATCTGGGACGAATGAGATGCCGTAGATTGTTTCTGCAAGTCTTTACAGTGCTTGTTTGTGACACATCCGTACCGCAAAGATACGATGGTACGATACGATACCGAGCATACCTGCCTAACAACCACCACCTCCTCTACGCGATTAACTGCATATCTCAGCTCAGCTTCATGGCTACCTAATTGCTTGTTCGGCTTGACCTAAGTAATCTATCTCCTGTCAGAGAGCATGGATATATATGTATGGATGGATGAATACATACATACATACATACATACCGTACCGCCAACTCAGAGCCCACAGTTCTTAGTTTAGGGTGGAGCTTCAACTCGGCCGGAGTAGTACACAGTAGGAGTAGTAGTAGTAGTAGTATCTGCCTTGAGGGTTTGTTTCGTATTCTCAAAAATCATCCCCTTCGCCAGGAAAAGACTTGCTAGGCAGTGATGATACAGGTTTGGAAACTATTATTAGATATAATCATCGCAGGAGAGAAGAGATCTGAATGAGGGAATAATTGTCAACATACCTGGGGGATCCAACCTCACGTGCATGGCAAGGGTTGGTTCAGGCAGTAAGGCGGACAATTTGGCTGCTGGGACCCGGAAAGGGACATGATCTCTTTGACGATGAGGGGATCTTCGATCGTTTTTAAATCATCGACTCGTCGTCTATTTCCACCACGACTACTACGTACTACTTACGACAATAACAATAACAATAACAACAACAACGATTGGGTTGGGATCCCTTTTTAATACTATTCCGGGGAGGCTCTTTGACAAAACTAGTAGCGGGGGAATTGACGGCCCCCATTTTTCTTATTGCAGGGGACTTTTTTTCTTACATACATAGAGAGAGAGAGAGAGAGAGAGAGAGAATGTGAAACATTCCCCCAGACCGACTTGACTGGAATCATTTAACGCGCAACCACGAGGCTGATTCGCAAGGTGTACTCCCACAGTTGATCGACTGCCCCCTATCGCTCCTTACTTGTCCACCCTCCTGTCAGCGTTTCGGCACTTCTGATATTCTTATATACGAAAATCGTTTCGTTTTCCTCCCCATGTGTGCCTGAAATTGGCCATTCATCTGCCTTATCGCTCCCAACAATTACTTTCATCTTACCATCACCGCCCCTCTCTCTCCTCCGCCCGTCATCGACGCGAATCCACACCCCGCTTTGATTGATTGATCGAGCATTCCATTGCTTCCACTGCGTCTTCTGCGCCCTCAGCCTTGTTTCGCGTGGTATCTATTCTGGGATACATCAAGTCGCGATGGCTTCCCAGGACGCGCTCCGGGATGCAGGGCAATCGCCTGCGGATCTTAAAAACCGCAGCGTGAGCCCCTCAGCCCATCCGCAGCAGCAATACAACAACGCTTCGCCCGGCTTGACTCTAGACCCTTCCTTCGCCATTGCGTCTTTCCAAAACTCCGCATCGTTTAATGCCAATCCGAATCCGAATTCACCTGGCGCTGAGTCCTACAGCTATACCGCCGGCGGCTACCTCTCCCCGACCAGCGCGCAAACACTGGCCCCGCCCGATCAAGCCTTCTCTCACAGCCTCCAACTGCCGCAGTCCTTCGATCCAGGGCTGGTCAACCAGCTCGACCACTCGTCGGGACTTCCGATGCAGCCACAGCTTCAGCAACAGCCTCAGCCGCATGAGGAAAACTTCTCCACCCTATTGAACTCAAACCCGACCGACTTCGATTTCTCCCTGTATCCGAACCATAGTCCTAACAGCACGACCGCCTCCGAATACGATTCCTCGCTAATGCTCGACACTCAGATGCAGGGGCATCCCGGACAAGTCAACCAGGCGATCAACCCCGCCGATCTAGTCGGTCAGATATCCTCCCCTCATGCCGTAGCCTCTCCGCAAATGTCTCCGCGGGAGCAGCAGCCTCATCATTCGTCTCCAGGTCCTATGTCTCCTCCGGGCTCGACGCCAGGGGCATATTATACCCCACAGCACTCCCGCCATACGTCGTTGGATCCAGCCAGTGCTGCATACATGACAGGCAATGCGCCTCCCGACTGGCAGAGCATGATGGGCAATGCTGCGTTTCAGGGCCATCGGCGGGCCCCCTCGGAGGTGTCTGAGGTGTCATCTGCTGCGCCATCTCCGTATATGTCGCAGCATGAGTCATTCGATGGGGTGGATAATAACCCATCGCCGCTCTTGGCGCCTCAGAATGACCCAGGGCTCTACGACAGCTCACTCGGAATCGAATCCTTTACGCTGTCGGAGCAGCAGCAGCAGCAGCAGCATCATCAGGGCATTAGTCCGGTCCACAGTCCGTACATTTCTCCGCAACTAATGCCCCAGCAAGGGAACGATCTGATCCCTAACATGCCGTATATCTCCGCTCCTGCCGGGAACCGATACTCATGTCCCCCCACAGATATCTATGGCAACGGAGCGGAAGGCGTTGTCAATATGCCTCAGGGAACCGCCATCGTTGGAGACATTGGTCAAGCGTCGCAGATGGCGCCACCATCCATTAACGTGGAGTTCGCGCCGCCTGCGAAAAACCCGATCTTTCCTCCAGCCAAGCCAGCGGCAGATCTGGATTCGTTAAGTCCGCCTCCGTCCATGCGTAAGAATTAACCCCTGTGTCCTTGCCCTCGATCTTGGCGCTCTTTATCCCATGCTAATCTAAAAAAAAAAAAATAACAGGCCGCATGCGTAGCAAATCTGATCCATACGCTCATCCGGCTTCTCGCTCACGATCCCCTGTGTCCATATCGAGTAGCCTGGAGCCTTTGGCCCCGTCATCCCCACGGTCGTTGTCGCCGTTTGACTCGACGGGCCGCCAGCCACACAGTAACCCCTCGTCCCGGGAGCCTTCGCCCTCTCGGTCTCGTCGTTTGTCAACATCATCGATTGACAACCGCAATTATATTTTGGGTCTCGCGGATCCTCAGCGGCCCGGAGCAAGCCCTAATGATTCCAAGCGTGTTCAGAAACACCCTGCTACATTTCAATGCCATCTTTGCCCCAAGCGCTTCACTAGAGCTTATAATCTCCGGTCCCATCTACGCACTCATACAGACGAAAGACCATTCGTCTGCACCGTCTGTGGGAAGGCATTCGCTCGTCAACACGATCGTAAAAGGCATGAGGGCCTACATTCCGGAGAGAAGAAGTTTGTCTGCCGTGGTGATCTCGCACGGGGCGGGCAGTGGGGATGCGGTCGCCGATTTGCCCGTGCAGATGCCTTGGGCCGCCATTTCCGATCAGAGGCGGGCCGAATTTGTATCAAACCACTCCTAGACGAAGAATCTCAAGAACGAGAGCGCACGCTCATGGATCAACAGAACCGGCAACATGCGGGCCACTTACAGCCGGTCCCGCAACCGCTCATGGTACCAGGAATGGATGGTCAGCATGCCAACGGTTTTGTCCTCCCTGCCGCGCTGCTGGCACAATACCCAGCCCTGCAGAACTTGCAGTGGGATCAGATAACTGCGACGGCAGAAGATCCTACTGACATGGGAGGTCGTAGTAGCTTTGACGCCAGCTCAGGCGGCGAGTTTGGCTTCGAGGATGATGAATCAAACCTCAGTAGTGTCTCCGGCATGAGTGGATACGGAAGTCCCCAGGACAATCTTTACGTGATGAACAATCAGAATCAAATGTTGAACGTCAACCCTGGGGACTCGGGGTATGCCTAGCCATGAGTCGTGACGTGTCCCGGCTAACCTTTCCCTGATAATTCTTTCCTTCCTCCTTCTCTTCCTTTCCTATATTTAAATTCCACCCCCACTTTTAGCATCATCTACACCCGCTTTATTATTATTTTTTTTTCTTTCGCGAACGTTGGCATCTAGCCCATCGTTTGCAGGTTACCATGGATTTGAGTCATTCATAGAGGGTTATACTTTTTGGCGTTGAGATACAGGGTGGAAACCAGATGACGGCGGGTTAACTTTCGTTTACACTGAAGTTCCAGATGCATGGTGCATGCTTTCTCTCGCTTTCAGTTTTCTTTCTCTTTTTACTTTCCTTGCCCCTTCTATTATTCTATATCTTGCTTTCAGATTCGATTCCCCCAAGTCCGCAAGGGTCGCGGGCTGTCATTATTACGTGTTTACGATGAGTCTTCATACCCATGGAAATACTCCATCTGTTTCGTGTGCGGGATATCCTTGAGTGGATGCTTATTTAGACTATTAAGTCTATTACCTATTATGTCCGTGATTGTTGTTCTGGAATATATTTCTGTTTTACTCTTAGAAATTTGTTGCCATCTATGTTAGGTCAACGAAAATCTGTTTGCTGACACTCAAAGATACGGTTCCTTGAGTATACCGCATCGGTTGGATTCAGGGCAATGTTTGCCCTAGGTGAGGTCGACATATATCAGACAGCTTGACAACAGGGAATAGAATAACAAGATACAGGTTTCTTTTCATCTCATATTGTGACAGTACCCTGTTGTTAGAGCTAGGAAGAACAACCAGTGAAAGAGTATACATAGAGGAGATGCACTGCTAATCAACAAAACCGCAATGACCACAACAAACTCTCACATACACACTCATCCGCTGGGTCTAGGAGATTCTAAGACTACACAACACATGATGTCCCTGAATATCACAAGCCGACACCATTCTGCAAATCACCGAGCTTGCAGTTGGACTAGTTTCCCTATCTCGTTGATCCATTTGAGGGAGAACTCCTCCTCCGTAAAACGCAGGGCGGATTTCCTTGCACGCAAGCGCATCGCCACTTTCTCCTGTTCCGGTAGAGCTAGCGCGGCCTCGAATGCGGCGGCGAACTGGTCTTCCGTTGAGGCGCGGAAGCCTGTCGCACCATCACCTAGATCAACGACAATATCCTCGCGAGGGCCACCAGAGTCATGTACCACGCTGATGAGTCCGGCGGCTTGGTATTCCACAACGCAGATGCCGAAGTGCTCGTTCCACATTCCATTGACGCCGATCGATGCTGTACCGAGGTGGGAGAGGATAGCGGGCCAGCTAGCGTCACATAGGAAAGTGGTGTGATCGCGGATGCGGAGTTCGTGCGCTAGCAGCCGGAGGTTGTAGATGTGGGTTTCGTCGGGACTGGCATGCCGGACAGAGCCGATGAGGACGAGTTTGGGTTGTGGTTGCGACGCTGAGGTAAGATTCTTGCTGCGCTCCTGAAGGAGGCGTGCGAACGAGCGCAAGACCAATGGGTGGTTCTTTTCAGGCCGGAACTGCGCAATGTATAGGATGATAGGTTCCCTAGTTTTCTCGCTCTCCGCATTTACTGTAATAGTCGATTGAAGCTCTGAAACGGCCGTAGGCGGGAATATAACAGTTGGCTCCTTGTGAGTTTGCTTCTGCCGAGACGGGCCCCAAATGGTACGAATATGCGCAGATGTCCAGGAGGAATTGCACATCACGACGTCCACATGGCCCCCAACCCAGCCGTAGAGACGGGCGAAAGCAAGCCAGTACTTTCTCTTGATCTGCCCCTTCAGTCCCTTTCCGGCGCCAGCGTTGACTCCTTTCACGCCGGTTGTATCATCTAAAGACTGGAGCATGTCCGTGGATATCGTAGGATAGTGCACATAAGCACCTGTTGGGACGTACGGGAAAAGCATCTTGCAGAAGGCCAGTGTGAAAGCATAGCCCATGGTATCGACGAACACGTCTGGAACCAGAAGATTGAATGCATCGTAGGCGACAATCAGAGATCCCAAAGACTGGCCCAGCAGAGTCATATAAGGATACATGCTGCTGACGACATATTTACGGGTAGTAAGGTATAGTAATACCACTGTTGGAGCGTGGAGCTGAATGTTGAAACGATTCTGGACTCTCTCCAGCATGGCAGTTTTGTTGACTTCGTGATCTCCTGTATATATGGCGCAAATCGCTTTGGGCCAGCGCTTTTGCGTTGCCCTTACAGCTTCCCAAAGGACCCGTTCTCCCCCTCCCCCAGCGTTACTAGAAAGATCATGTCAGCTGCGCCCATAACGGTATGCATGCATCTAGCGAGGTAGTAATCATACCAGAATGGATGAAAGAACCCTATAATCCCATCCCAATCGTCACTCTCAGGGGCCTTGTTATTGCCAGGTGTACCTGAACCGGAACTAGACGAGTCGAGCTTCTCCCAATCCTCATCCTCTCCCTGAGCTCCAGAGGACGATCTACTTCGCTTAGATGAAGCCTCCTCATCTTCAGCCCGGACTCGCGAGAGAAGGTACTCTCTACGAGACCTTGTTCTTTTCTGGATAGCCCATCCGACACCACGAAGGACGAAGCGGAGGACCGCCAGGGGAAGTTGGGGTAGCAGGACGCAGGTTGCGAGGAGCGCAAGGACGGTGATAACCGTCTTCAATAGAAACAGCATCATGGCTAGCACAAGACAACGGACATAACTATTGTAGTCTCATCCGTACGTTGGGCGGCGCGCAGGTACTACTACAACTGCAAGGAGCTGCGGAACAAACAGCTGGCGATTATTTGACTGTTGTTTCACTATCGATAAGCCGACTCGGAGTCCGTGCCGATCAGAAACCGTTCGGTATGGTATTGTATGGTTTGTATGGTATGATCCGAATTATTACCCACGTGATATTTATCAGTCACATGATTTGTTCTTTTGTTTTTCTGGTGTACCCGGAGATAACTTCGATTCAGTGCGACAATCGCCTTGTATACTACTGTACTTATATTTGTTCTTTGCTTTCTTTCATCCCCATCTTGTGCTATCGCCCATATCGGACGCTAATAAAGCAATCAGCGAGCCATTGGCCGGCAAGATGAGGCCTTTCCATCGCTCACTCCGCGTGCCGCGGAAGACGGCCTTGCAGCAAATCCGGCATTTCCATCCGACAAGACCGTCGCCTTTCGTTAACGAACTATTAGACGCTTCGTCCGCATTTATACAGGGGGTCCATTCAATCAGTGGCCTGTCATGGGCAGTTTCCATTCCATTGACCGCATTGATCGTCCGATCAACCGTCGCAATGCCTCTACAGATATATACTAAGATTCAAGCGCGCAAAGAGCGAGATTTGGTCCCACTTCTCTCTTCCTGGAAGAAGCACTACAAGGACGATATATTGCGAAGCCAGTACAAAGTCGACGACGTTAATGACATTCAAAACCTTTCGGCCGCTACTCCTATGCTGGCGCAACGTATGAAATCGAAACACGCGGACTTAAGGAAACGATGGAACATCCCAAAGTACTGGAAGCCACTTAACTTTCTCCAAATTCCCATTTGGATATCAGTCATGGAGGCTCTCCGAGCCATGTCAGGAAACGACAAGGGTCTTATCCCGTATCTTCTGTCCCTCGTCGAGCCTACCAATTCATCAGGAGCCCCTCGTCTCCATCTAGAGGTCGAGCCCTCCCTAGCGACAGAAGGCGCGCTCTGGTTTCCGGATCTCCTAGCAGGCGACACGACGGGTATTCTACCAGCCGCATTAACTATGTCTATCCTGCTCAACATCAGCGCCGGCTGGAAAGCCAAGAAGTTCTCGCAGATGGCCGATTTGCCGAAGATAGAGCTCTATAGGGCTTTGACTGTGCGCGGAATTAGGGCTTTCATCCAGGTTCTCGCGCTGAATGTCGGTCTTTCGTCTTATTACTATGAAATGCCCGCCGCACTTCTGCTCTATTGGACCACCAGTACGAATATTGCCACGCTGCAAACCGTTTTCCTAGAAAAGTGCATGTTCAAGAGAGAACCACTAAAGCCCTGGAAGCAGATGCATATCGGGTATACTGCAAACAAAGAGTGTGCTCCAGAGGACTCAATATACAAAGCCACCATGAAGGACGCAAAAGGCTTCAAGGGACTTCACTAGGAGTGATGACTAGATAATTTTAAGTGCTAGATACACCTACCAAGCATGAAGATTGCCAAATAGGCCGATGACAACCGGGGGCCCAGTCATCAGAAAGGCCTACTTTCGCTCCATCAGGACTCACATGCTATATGGGGGTCCAGGCCAACCCCTCCATGATGTCCGAAGAGGCATCAGTGCCACCAAACAGGGTCACGCGAGTCAGACACAGGGGCGGTTCATGTCCGCATCAAAAAAGCCCCGTCGAAGTCAAATACACCTGTGCGCAAGGTGATACCTTTCCCGCAGCAACTTTAACTTCTACTTGTTCGAATTTTTCGGCCAGTGGCTCCCTCTCTTAAAAGGGACTATCGGCGGGTCTATCCTTACCTAACACTGGTTGGCACGTGAAAAGAAGGATACGAAACAGTCGACTTTGGCATACAGCATGCGATATACCTGCCTTCTTTTCTTCTATTCATGTATATCTAATACCATCTGTATATATATTCTCACTCAACATCCCAAAAGACTACCATAATCAACACAATACCTAAAAACCTGCAAACATTCGTCCACACTAGAATGGGGGTAGGAGTACGTAGTATGCTCGTGGCACCACTCAGAAAACGTATGGAGGCTCTGCCGGACTAAGGGGTGCGTTTGCCGCCTGCTTGTTTGTTTCGTCTGGTTTTCTCTAGTCCCGGTCTATGGTCGTCTTTCCTTGGTGTGGTTGTTACTGGCGTGGCGTTTTTGTTCGCCTACTATGGATAGAAATAGAGTAGGTTCATGCATTCATAGAGGGGTATTGATATGGAGGGAAAAGTGCGAATCTGTTATGCCGTTCTCTACGTAGATCTAGTACATTGGTGAAGAGATATATTATTCCGAAGAGATATGCCATTCTAGCTGATATTCACATAGTAGATCACCACCCAAAACCAAAAGAACGCCAGATCTTACGATCGTCTAGTATGCACATACTAAGTGCCCGGAGACATGAAAGTAGCAAGAAGAAAAAAAGGAAGAGTACTAAATGAACTTTATGGTTACGGATCCTGTACGATAAGAAAGCAAGTGATGAGGTCTTGCGTCGTTAATGTCAGTTCTAGTATCTCTGGAATGATTTAGAGCTTGGCTCTAGGGTTCTCTTCGGATGCGCTGGCTTCCTTGTTGATTTCGACGGTACGGGTGTCTGGGCTTTCGCCGAAGAAGATAACTTCTACTGTGACATCATCGCTGTATTTATGTTAGTTTGTTTCCAGTGTTGGATGGGAGTGTGTTTTATGACTTACCGGTAGCGACGAGAGTATGGGCTAGGGAGGGTCAGCAGTGCGCAGACCATGTCCTTGTCCTTGCCGCCCATGGCGTTACGCACAAGGTGGGTGGCAGCGTTGTTGTCTTCGACTGTGAATCGGTCGGCAACGCCCGAGATATCGTACTGTTGTTGGCGGATAGGACGGCGCTGGCCTTCAGTTCCCGCTTCTTGCGATGTCTCGACAGGGAGTTGTTTGCTTTCGAAACCAAACCAGCTCTTCAGCCACGTCTTGTTGGCGCCCACATTTCCAGCCTGCTGTTGCTCGATCCACTGACCGACAAGTCCGACGACTTCCTCGTTGCTCAGCATCTCCCAGAGACCGTCAGTGGCCATGACGAGGAAGTCTCCCCGGCTAGGCTCGACCTTGGTGGTAGTGATGACAGGTTCGGCGGTGACATACGGCGGTGTCTTCAGCAGAGGGTGGGGTGTTCTTCCGAAGAACTGCCGCTTGATCTTATCTTGAGTCTCTTTGGTCCACTTGTAGAACGCATCTCCAAAGGATCGGCTGGGCTCCAGTTGGCCTAGGATTCTACCATTCCGTACAACGTTAGGTTCCCCAGGGTGCTCGGCCCGTAGACGTTGCATTTCGGAAGGGGTCCCGCCGGTCTGGTCTTCCGACAGCGCGGTTGCGGACCACTTTCCGTTCGGGCCACGACGACCAAGGACGGCCCTAGAATCACCCGCGCAGGCAACCTTCAAATCCTTTGACTGGGAGTCATAGAAAGCAAGAAGAGCGCAAGAGCCGGATAAAGCGGGGGCAAGTGTTTCGGCTGCAACTCTCCGCGAGTTAGACTTGAGCACTTTTTCAACACTGTTGTGCACGATATCATTATCCAATCGGGTAAAGCCCTGCTTGATAGCTGCGTCGATAGCTGCAGGGGAAGGTATGAGTAGCGAAGGATCAGCAGCCGCAGCCTTGTAAGTGGTGTTCAATTCCCGAGCCACGTAGGAGATGAGAACATTGCGCAACTTAGCGGAAGTCGTCCAGCCACTTGTGAACTAGTCAGTTCTATACAAATCCATCAAAGAATAAAGGTGGATAAACGTACGAATGCCCGTCGAACACGCCCCAGAACATCCAGTCGCTGTTGGCTTCGCCCTCTTTCGCCGTAGCTACTGTGGACGGCACCTCTACTATCTTTTCGGCATGATCGTCTTCAATCGGCGAGTTGCTAGGCACTTGCACCACGTCATAGCGGACAACACCTTTGCCTCGGTTAACCAAGTACGATTCTTCATTCTTCCTCAGCTTCTGCGTAGCTTGCTCCGGCGTCAACATTTCTAGAAGTCGGCGGTCAGAGTCGTCCGTCTGTTTGCGAAGCGGTTCTTCTCCGTTGATAGTCGCGGTATAAAATTGATCATTATCCACCAGAAGAGCGCGGCGGGTTGACTCCGAAGGATCCTCAGCGTAAGCCGTGGTGGAAGTAGATATGGTACGGTTCAAGCCCGCTACTGCTGCCGACTGTGAACTGCCACCCTGATAAGCGTACCAGGCCCCAGATGCAACGACCGTCGATATCACAGCGAGGGAAAAGTTTCGGAGATGCATCGATGAGTGTAGGGTCGCGGGAATGAACGAAGGGTGTTTCCCGGCGGAGGAGGGTCGGAGAGCTAGAGAGTGGCTGCTAGAGAACGACACAGCACGCGGTTTCCTACCAGCAACTCTCCATACCGGTACACGACGCGCACTACGGAAGGCGTGAAGAGCTGCACGTCGCATTGAGTAGGTGAGTAAATAATATAGTATAGAGAGTTGTAGGGTCCAGCGGCGCTGGAAGGAGACTGTATGATGACACAAGCTATTTACTAGTCTAATGGCGGAGACCTTTCGGTGTTTAATCGGACCCAGGCATCCAGGCATGCAAGGTAGATGGCTTATCATGTGATACCGTATCGTTTTGTCTTCGTTTTGTTTTCGTACCGTAACGTCGTAACGAATGTCCCGCGCTAATCCCAAACAGGCTGTGTCGTCATTCCCCGCCGTTGTCAATGAACAAAAAGTGCTTTTTACTGCTTATACATCAGAAAACCAACTTTCACCAATTCCCCGCGCGGGCCTCAATAATCGCACTACGCTTGGCTGATTTGTGTAATTTGTGGTCAGCCCTGAATGTCCTCCCGCACGCTTCGCAAGCTGCAAAAGCTGCGCGAGCAAGAGTTGCAGCAAGCGTCGTTACAAGCAGAAGAAAACGATGAGTCAAGCGAAGATGAGCCGGTATCTCAGTCTTCAAAGCCGAAGTTGAACGCCTTTGATTTACTTAATGCCGCCGATGATGAAGAGGAAGAGCAGGAGCAGGAGCAGGAGCAGGAGCAGGAGTCCGACAACGATGCTCACGAGCCGGTGACGCAGCCAACGGAAGCTATACCCGTCCCCGCGAAATCGGCAGAGTCGAAGAAAAAGAAGAAGAAGAAAAACAAGAAGAAGAAGGCTTCTCCGAAAGCTACCGATGAAGCAACAGCAAATACCAAGGCAGATGATGAAGAATTAGATGAAATTGACCGAGCACTGAGGGAGTTAGCGGTTGACAACAACCGTTCCGGACAAGGCGATTCCACGACGGCTGCAACAGGTAATAATCGCGATGCCTCGTTTCCAAAGACCCCGGCAGAGCTACTCGCCATTGACCCGAAGTCTCTCAATGCGACGAATGAAATGCGAAAGTTATTTGGGAATGTGGTGTTGGAAAACTTTGATCAAGAGGATGCTGGCGCAGGCCGCAGAAGAGACAGGAACCGGGAAACGATTGACCTCGGTCGCGCATTGACTGGGAGATATAGCCCTGCGAGTAGAGGTCAGAGTTTAGCCGGCGTCACGCTGCGACGCAACGTCCTGATGCAGGGCAAGGATGAATGGCCTCGCACCCCTAGTGGTGGCCTTGGGATGGAGCTGGTGGAGAAATCTTCAACTGGTCCTACGGTCTACCGGATTATTCACAACGCCTCCTATAAGGACGTGCAGATGCAGTTCGATATGTGTGTGGAGTCGATGGACCCTCAAAGAATGATTCACCTCCTCCAATATAATCCGTACCATATTTCAACTCTGCTCCAGGTCTCCGAAATAGCCAAGCATCAAAGTGACCACGCTGTCTCCGCTGATCTCCTTGAACGGGCACTTTTCAACATTGGACGGTCGGCTCACTCATCGTTCGGTACCAGCCTCAAGGAAGGTCAGGCAAGGCTGGATTTTGCGCATATGGCGAACCGGGAGTTGTGGCTCGTCGGTTGGAGGTACATTGCCAACTTGGGGATGAAAGGAACCTGGAGGACAGCCTATGAGTGGGCCAAGCTGTTACTGAGTCTCAATGACAGTGATCCATACTGTATCAGACTTCTGATCGATCACCTGGCCCTCAGAGGCCGAGAGTACTCCCATTTTATTGAACTTTGTACACAAACCCGGCTGAGAGAGGAGTGGGCTTCGCTGCCAAATATTCAATGCTCACTTGCATTGGCATACCTCCGGTTGAACAAACCTAAGGAATGTAGAGAGCAGCTTCATTTCGCCATGTCGCGCTACCCATGGGTGTTTTGCAAGCTAGCACAAGAGCTTGATATCCAGCCCATGCCTAAGCAGATTTGGGGCAAGATGCCTCCGACTGATGCGCATGAGCTGCTTACCGAACTCTACATTGTCCGTGCCAAGGATCTCTGGAACACACCCGAGGCAGTCTCGTTGATCGTGGAAGTTGCCGATACCTTGGCAGAAGAGGAAGAACCGGTTGAACCTCCTGAGATCACGCTCGATATTGCCCGCCATGTGGTGCTGTCCGACATCCCCAGAGTCACAACACATCTACCCACACGCTTTGTCTCCGGACGGATATCAGCATCCGATCCACTACCTCCCTACGACTCGGAGGCTTTCCGCCAACAGTCCGATCCCACCCCATCGTATTTATCTCGAGTGCCGGAGGCTGGTCGCCCACAGTGGCTGCGGGACCTTTTGAATCAAATGAACAATGGTGCCATTCGTTTCCCTGGGTTCCAGGGCGGCGAAGAAGTGCATGACGATGACGGTTCGATTGGCGAGGGTGGAGGCGAGATTAACACTGCAGGCCCGCACCCTGGCGCTGATCAGCAGCCACAACTTGAGCAGTGGCTCCTGGCAGATGGTCTTCACAGTCTGGAAGCATTTTTACGCCAGTATGGTGTCGATCGCGGCAATTGGGGGGAAGTCGTCGACTATTCTCCTTTGACTGAGTATGTAGATGCCTTGGACGCCCTCCAGCCGGATACTCGACAGCGGTTACTCCACGGTCCGGTTCGGGACTCTATAGGTGAGATGGCGATTGATTTGTTGGAGGATGAACTTCAGCTACTGGAATATGATGAAGATGAGGATGTGTGATTATACCAACCCTCGATGCGTGTATAGTGACGGAATGATATACCATGGTTACATTGCTCATAGCTCATGGATTCGAAAAAACAATAGGATTGTAGTTGTTGTTTTTGTAGACATTGCAGACAGGTAGGGACAGTATGTGTTCTGTATGATTGATACCATGTGACTTCGTTCCGTTGTATTTGTATTGTGGGGTAGAGATTCGTATAGTAGAGTTTATATATAAGCAGTACCACATCACTGACGGGATTTAGGGCAAACGTCATAACAGGGGCTTGTATAACCAAGCGTCCGTTTTCGGTTACATGCGTCTGTTAGGTAAATTTAAGATCTTATATTACTCCTTTTCACTCTTAAGTACTAGTATGAACACCATCGGCATTATAATATTCGACTTTTTCCTTATTAAACCGGCCAAAAAGATGCTCCCTCACAATTATCGCAGCTTAGTAAAACATTCCCCGACAGGCAGCGGTTCCGCCCGTAACTATAATAAAATCTTAATTCGAACGTGACACTTGCTTCTGCCATGCGTGGGACTCGCGCATATTTTGTTCGATGAGAAAACCATCGGGAAAATTTCAATCATTAGATTGGACTTTGCCACTGCACTATCTTTAGTGACTCATGTGCTATCACGTTACATCCGAGCGCTTCGCGAGATAGCTAACTTTTTCCCTTATCTCTCACGAATCGCCGGCAGATTCAAACCATCGCTCACCCAGGAAAGAAAATGCCGACACTGTGGTCGCAGGTCAGTAGTATGGCTTCGGCAGAACCCGTACCGTTAACCGCCCGTGAAGCTGCCTCCGGGCTCTTGGGATCTATTTCTTTGACCTGCTGGATCTTTGTCCTGGTATGTGTTTATCCGCTGCATTACTTGGCCGCGCTGCGATTCGTAGGTCCCTGCGAAGACAATCCGCTAAACTGCCTCTGCTAGGTGCCTCAACTTATCGAAAATTATCGCAATGGCAACGCGGAGGCCATCTCTCTTGTCTTTCTCGGCGTTTGGTTCGTCGGTGACGTAACCAACCTAATTGGAGGCCTTTGGGCTGGGCTGGTTCCCGTAATTGTGGCTATTGCTGTTTATTTTTGTATCGCGGATGGCGTGCTTATCGGGCAATGTCTCTACTACAAGATGCGGAATTCGCGTCTTCATGCCTTCCACCGTCGACGTTCTTCCGTGGAAACACCTGACCCGACCACCCCATTGCTGGGCCGGCGCTTTAGCGACAGCCTTCACGATGGACCGGCTTCGCGCCGTCGATCATGGGCGTCGCAGCACCGTGACGGCCATGCTAATGGACCGGACGATACACTAGCGAAAATTGTTGAGGAGAACGAGGCCGGTCGCAGTGCGTGGATCAAGAACTTCAGCAGCGTCCTGGCCATCTGCGTGATTGGAATGGGTGGATGGACGATCGCATGGCAATCTGGTGTTTGGCAACCGGCACCCCAGGAGGATGGCGGAGGTGCCGAGATAGCCGTTGGAGCCCAGGTAGTTGGGTATTTCAGCGCGATCTGCTATCTAGGGTGAGTTTTGAAATTTAAATCGGAGTTGGAATGTTTTTCAGGATTGACAAATGTTAGTGCACGTCTTCCGCAGATTTACAAGAACTGGAAGGACAAATCTTGCGAGGGTATGTATTTCCCTGGCCACTGGGCATCGCATGTACGGTGCTAACTGACTTTACAGGGCTCTCGCTTTTGTTCTTTATTCTCTCACTCTTGGGAAATTTAACTTATGGCGCTGGTGTAGGTTTTCGTTTACTGACTCATATTTTTTATGTCATTTGAGGCTGACGTTGTACAATCCAGATCCTTTGTCATTCAACGGAGAAGAACTACATTGTCACAAATATACCTTGGCTGCTGGGATCGCTGGGCACGATGGTCGAGGATATCACGATTTTTATACAATTTCGTCTATATGCGGTTGCGGACTCAACAGCCGCAGGGCCATGATTGTAAAGGGCCAGGGTACAGCCACGCTAATAGTTTAGCGCATTGATCGACTCTACGGGGACGCGGCGTGGGTTCCGTTAGTTGGTCGCGCTTATCAAAAGTTGTGTCGAGTTTTTTTATCTGTCAAAAAAAAGTTGCGGGGTTTAGGTGGCATGGCGTTTGTACTATATTTATATCTATTATGCATGGCTTTGATATTTTTACCTTAGAGCAACGAGAGTGGGCGGGAATTATGAATAGCTTTATACGGACAATGCAAACAGAAACCTTTTGTTCATGGTCGCATGACAGACATGGCATGAGATCTGGGCACCTAAGCTCGAAACTAGCTAAACTGGGAACATTTTATATAGAAACGAGGACGGCCAACACGATCTCGCCCCCGACCCATAGGTGTGCCATGACTGAAGTCTAATGGCCGGAATCATAGCGTCATCCGTTCCAGTACCTGTCATCGAACCCATCATACAAGCAAAGCGCCCAGTCCCACCGGATGTCCTTGTCCGTTGATCCCTTTTTAATTTCCCTTTTTGGTCATCGTGCGGTCGCGTAGTATGGGGTACAAGAAATGCGAGGGCGAAAAGGAGATATGGAAGAAACAAGGTGAAAAAGGAAATTAGGAAAGCCGAACGGGTGAAGACGCTTAGTCGAAAAGACCGAAGCCCATGTCCTCGTCGGACTCCTCCTTCTCTGCGTGTACAAGTCAGCATTCCGCGCACCTTCGCAGACTCTTCATGGATCGCAGCGGTACCTTCTTCCTTCTTCTCCTCAGCGGCAGCCTCAGCGGGGGCAGCAGCGCCACCAGCAGCAGCAGCACCGGCGGGAGCGGCAGCACCAGCGGAGCCGACGTTGGTCAGGAGCTCCTTGATGTCCTTGCCCTCAAGAGCCTGTAAAATCGGAATGTGTAAGTTGCTGAATATGACTTTGCGTTTTCTTCAACTGTCGCTCGAAGACTGTCGGATATTTACCTTGGCGAAGATGGAAGTCCAGATGGGCTCAACTTCCTGAACCTTGGCGGCGGTCAGGAGAGTCTGGAGCTTGTCGGCCTGTGGTGAGCAAAAGACACGATCAGCCTGTATTTCCAATGCAAAAAAATTCATCTCCCATTTGTCATAATGTCCCGCAAAATTCCACCTCTTCGCAGCAACTTCGTGTTGTTCAACCAGTTTCCCACAATACCAACTCAAGATCCAAGGATAATACGTACGGTGACCTCGATGCCATCATCGGCAAGGATGAGGGCCGCGTAGGAGCAAGCGAGCTCGGCAGTAGACATGGTGGTCGATGGGGTCGTTGACTGGACTGGAGTCTCGAGAGGGATGGGTATAGGAAAGAGAGAAGAAGACGGGAGACTTTTAACTCGGCCTATCTTTGAGAGTCCGGTAGACGCCCAGAGCGGAACTGGTACTGTGTGCACCTAGGGCTCGCTTAGGTCCTTATTCTGGCTTAGCGTCAACGCCCCTCCCGTGACTTTACACTAGTCCCTAATAGGCAATGCATGCCATCATCGTCTGATTGCATCTGATCCGCATGATGCAGTTTAGTCTCTAGATCGAAATATCTCCGTATATCTCTCGCGTTCTGTTATCTGCGAATTACAGATACCACTCCGTTCTATATCTTACCGATCTATCACTTGACATTTTCCTCCCACCTATACTACTTCGTACATTCGAAAGTATCCCGCTCCGGCGTCATGGATTCCCCCGCCGTCCCCGCTCCGTTGGATCCGCAAGAACAGCCAATTCTCGACCGTCTGCTGCGCACCCGCGACGCTCTCCTACTTATCAAGCAGGACAAGTCCTCTTATATCAAGTCTCGCGACGTGCTTCCGTTATACGAGGAGGTGGTTTCTGAGGTGGAAAAACTCAATGCCGTCCGGAAGGGGAAAGACCGCCGGCTGCCACATAACCGACGTTAGCACTGAGTGGGCCTTGCGTTAAGTGTAAGCGTAATAAGAACAGACTTGCTGACTGCTACCATTTCCACGAGGCTCTAGTTGACTACGTACTGGATGACTGCTTTCAATTGATCTCGTTGCTGTTCTTGACGGTTGGTCGGAACAATGAGGCACCTGCAGTGTACGTACATCCCAATAACATGGTATTGATCGGACCTGATTGGGACTGACGATTGACTGCGCTCAAGGTATTCTTTGGCAACGACGGTTCAGGTAATTCAAGACAAAAGAGTTTCTTCCGTCTCTTCCGCTTTCTAACGTTAAGATAGCGACTTCTTGACCACCTGGGAGAGGCTGGCTTCTACAGTTCTAAAGACCTTAGCTCCATCACAAAGACCCTCGCTCATGTTCACGAAACCATAGATCGCTGTCGCAATGTATACTCGCCTGCTTTATTGACACTTTTGGAGAGTCGGTTGGAGAAGTGCCGGCTTTTATTGGACAAGTTGCAGAGTGATCTGGCGCAGCTGAGCCCCGAACTTGTGTCTACTCATGAGACGCTTGTCTCAATCCTGCGGTCAACATCTGCTGTCAATACCCGTTCAAAGGTGTGCACCTTTCCCTCCTACACATCCGCAGATTCTAACCAAGTGTATGTTAGTTCTCTGCATCAGAGGTGAATGGACTACGGGATCAGTTGAAGAAGATCCAGGATTCATTGACAGATGGTAATTTTGTCGGTGCCGATGGGCAACCTCTCCCGGGACAGGACAATGTTAAAAGCTTATTGGAACGATGCTGGCTGTGGACGGAGATTGTTTTGCAACGGTACGTCGCTCTTCAAATCACACTATTTCTCTACTAACCCGCAACAGGGAGGGAAAGATTGATGAGCGGTTCCAAGACCAGTACGAGCGGTTGGTTGACATTCGCAACCAACTTGATCGGCTGTCTGTAACACAAGCGTGGTCTCTCCGCGAGACCGACCTGTTCGGCTATCAGCGAAAACTTGACCGTATTGACGAAGCGCGTGTGAATGGAAATTTTGTCGATGCGGAAGGACAACTGGCAGACATTCATGCGCAACGGGTAAGGATTCAGTGCATCTCAACAATAACATGTGTGCTAACATGAAGATGTAGACCCTTCTGTACTTGATCAGGAGGAGCTATGGATACATCTATGCACTTCTAATTTCGTCAGAACCGGTATCTGAGGCATTGTTACCTGTGTATAACCAGCTCCAAACGCTGAAGCGCTGCCTCCTTGAGGTTAAGGAGTCTGGCGGCGTAGCGAATTCGCGCGAACTTTACCCATATAGTATGAAGGTAAGTCTGGGGGGGTTTGGGACATTCGCGGTACACGAAACATTGCTAATAAGACGCAGCTTAACTCCATTGATAATATGCGAGTAGACGGGAAGTTCTACGTGGGCAACGACATCCCCGAAGGTCAGGGTAGCGTGAATGCACTATTAGCGGAATGTTACGACATTGTATGGGAGCTGCGGGCGGCCGTGCAGGACGACGACGACCGGCATGCCTGATTTGGTCTTTTCTTTACCATCTCTCATGTATTAATGGCGATCTAGAGGACATCTTGGGACGGACTTGGCTTGGCTCGACCTCGGCGATCGTGAGGCTGTTTGCTGTTCTCGTATTCTATCGGCGTTCTCTCTGGCGCATTGCAATCTGTGTTGTTGCTCCATGTGGTAGTTGTCATCAAATCTACTAATATCAAAACTTATCAAGTGGATAATACGGTACCATACCTGAAAATGGGCGAGACTTTGGCAGTAGAGATACGGGGCCCCGAGTACAGTACGGTAAGATGGGTCCTTGGGAATGTCGGCCCGGCATCGGCGATGGAACCGTCCAATCAGCATGGAGGTAAAAGGCAGCCAAAGGCCAAAATAAAAGAATATCGCCATCGAACTCAATTCTAATGTCCTTCTTTCTTCTTCCCCAATTCACGTACATTCAGGCGGCACGATGGTGAGGCAGCTTGTTTGGCAGCGGGCCACCGCCTCTCGCAGGGTAAGTAACCCCAATGGCTGCTTCCTCGACGGCCTATACATCTACCGTGTACTAACCTCCGGTATGAATCATAGCTGGCCCCGAAGTGCCTTCCCCCACAAGGACTGTTCAACCGCCGCGGTCTGGCCACGGAGGCTTCCTCGGTGTCCTCTCGCATGCCCCCCTACCCCAAAATCTTGCGCAACTTAGAGGAAGTCCGTCGTGTCTTGGGTTCTTCGCGGGCTCTTACACTAGCGGAAAAGATCCTCTACGCCCATCTGGCGAATCCCGAGGAGTCATTGTTGTCCGGCACGGACAATGGACGTGATATTCGCGGCAAGGCGAACCTGAAGTTGAAGCCGGACCGTGTGGCGATGCAAGATGCATCGGCACAGATGGCTCTATTGCAGTTCATGTCGTGCGGTCTCCCATCGACCGCAGTGCCCGCCAGCATTCACTGCGACCATATGATTGTGGGTGAGCGCGGCGCCGACACGGATTTGCCTGCATCGATCAAGGGTAATAGTGAAGTGTTCGATTTCCTGGAGAGTGCTGCCAAACGCTACGGTATCGAATTCTGGGCCCCCGGTGCTGGTATCATTCACCAGAGCGTCCTGGAGAACTACGCCGCCCCTGGATTGATGATGCTGGGTACTGACAGCCACACCCCGAATGCGGGTGGTCTTGGCGCTATTGCCATTGGTGTTGGTGGTGCTGACGCCGTGGATGCGTTGGTTGATGCTCCTTGGGAGCTGAAGGCACCTCGTGTTCTGGGTGTGCGACTGGAGGGCAAACTCAACGGCTGGGCTGCTCCCAAGGACATTATCCTGCACCTGGCAGGCAAGCTCACCGTCCGTGGAGGAACTGGTTTCATCATTGAGTATCACGGACCGGGTGTGGAAACTCTTAGCTGCACTGGCCAGGCTACTATTTGTAACATGGGTGCTGAGGTGGGTGCTACCACTTCGGTGTTCCCATTCTCTCCCAGCATGATCCCATATCTGCAGGCGACGCACCGTGGAGATGTCGCCAAGGCGGCCGCGGAGATTGCCGCTTCGGGTCCCAAGAACCTTCTGCGTGCCGACAACGGTGCCGAGTATGACCAGCTGATTACCATTGACCTGTCGACGCTGGAGCCACACATCAACGGACCTTTCACGCCGGATTTGTCCGTTCCCCTTTCCGCCTTCGCCGATACCGTTCGCGAGAAGAACTGGCCCGAAACCTTCGGAGCTGGTCTGATTGGTAGCTGCACGAACAGCTCCTATGAGGACATGACCCGTGCTGAGGACCTGGTCAAGCAGGCCTCCGCTGCGGGCCTCAAGCCCAAGTCGGATTTCTTTATCACCCCAGGCAGTGAGCAGATCCGGGCCACCCTCGACCGCGACCAGACGCTCTCCACCTTTGCCTCTGCAGGCGGTACTGTCCTGGCTAATGCATGCGGGCCGTGCATTGGCCAATGGAAGCGGACTGATGGCGTTGCTAAAGGCGAGGATAACGCTATTTTCACTTCGTACAACCGCAACTTCCCCGGCCGTAACGACGGCAACCGCCGGACAATGAACTTCCTGGCCTCCCCAGAGCTTGTCACAGCACTGGCGTATTCTGGCCGTACTACCTTCAACCCTATGACCGACAGCTTGACGACCCCGAGCGGTGGGGAGTTCCGGTTCCAGCCTCCGACTGGCTCTGCGCTGCCCGCTGATGGCTTCGAAGACGGCAACCCCGACTTCAAGCCCACCGCGGCGGCCCCCGACGCAAGCTGCGAGGTGGTTGTGTCTCCCACCTCCGATCGATTGGCTCTGCTGGAGCCATTTGCTCCCTTCCCCAAGGGAAACCTGTCCGGTCTGAAGGTGCTGTACAAGGTCAAGGGCCAGTGCACCACGGACACCATCTCCGCCGCGGGCCCATGGCTCAAGTACAAGGGTCACCTGCCCAACATCTCCGCCAACACCCTAATCGGCGCCGTCAACGCTGCCACTGGCGAGACCAACGTCGCCTACGACGAAGCTGGCAACCAGTATTCAATCCCCGACCTGGCCGCTCAATGGAAGGCTGAGGGAATCGAGTGGCTGGTGGTTGCCGAGGACAACTACGGTGAGGGTAGTGCTCGTGAGCACGCCGCATTGCAGCCTCGCTACTTGGGTGGACGTATCATTCTGTCCAAGAGTTTCGCCCGTATTCACGAGACCAACCTCAAGAAGCAGGGTGTCGTGCCTTTGACTTTCGAGAACCCCGCCGACTACGACCGCATTGACGCATGCGATAAGGTCGACACGGTCGGACTGTACGAAACCCTGCAGGCAGGCGGACAAGGCTCGATCAAGCTGCAGGTGACCAAGCAGAATGGCGAGGCTGTTGAAATTCCAGTGAAGCACACGCTGAGCCCGGATCAGTGTGCATTCATTCTGGCAGGAAGTGCATTGAACTTGTTGGCGCAAAAGGCGGGAAAGTCTAATTAGATTGTACATATACCAATTCCGTTGTTTAATCATGTCAATGTCAAAATTTCTTAAGACAGCTTTTCCCTCGTACTGCTGATCTACTGCTTTACCGTACCTTTATACCAAGATCTCCGCTCCGCTCCCCCACCTGCCCCACCACCTCCACAGCAATACATCGATCTGACTTCATAGCACAAATACACATTCCAGGCGCCATATAAACCAACTCTAACCACCACACACCCCCATAAGAAAACTACCCAAATACCAACCCATCCAACACAAAAAGAAAACAAAGAAAGAAGAAAAGAAAAGAAAAAGAAAAGAAAAGAAAATGGAAACTCTTCGCACTGCGTTCGTAGACAGGCCCCGCCCGCTGCTCTCATACGGCGTCCCCTTCGAAACCGCCGCCGCAAAACACATAAACGACCTCTTCCACGCCTCACGAGTCTATATAATCTGTTCAGGCTCTCTATCCCGAAACACAGACGTGCTGGACCGACTAAGCACCACCATTGGAAAAGACAAGATAGTAGGGACCCGCATCGGAATGCGGAGCCATACATATTGGTCGGAGATTCTAGAAATCGTGCACGAAGCAAGAAACAGCGGAGCAGATTTGATATTAACGATTGGAGCGGGCAGTCTAACAGATGGAGCGAAGGTTGTTGCTCTGGTAAGATATTATATTCCCTTCTCTATGTATTTATTTTCTTTTTTGTTACTTTTATCCGAGAGTATATGGAGGGTTGTGATGTCATTATCCGATCACTATATACCTATATGAATAAATGACGAATTAACAATTGCTAACGGAACCCAAAGGCCCTATCCAACAACGTCGAAACGAAAGCCGACCTCTCCAAACTCCCCGTCACGCCATCCCAACAAGCCACGATCCACCCCCCTACCATTCCCATAATCAGTATTCCGACGACCCTCTCCGCAGGCGAATATTCTAACTTCGCGGGCGCAACCGACGACACCACACAGCGCAAACATACCTTCCAGAGTCCCGTTAAAGGTCCGGAGCTCGTAATCCTCGACCCAGCGCTCACGACTACGACCCCGGATTCCATCTGGCTCAGCACAGGGATCAGAGCGGTAGACCATTGCATTGAGACGTTCGTTGCTGTCCAGCATACGAGTGAGAAGACGGACCAGCTTGCGTTGCATGCGTTGGGGCTTTTGGTGCCCGGGTTGTTGGGATGTAGAGCTGATACGGGGGATGTGGAGGCGAGATTGCAGTGTCAGTTGGGGTCGGTGGATGCTATGGCTGCTTGTACGGCGGGTGTGCAGTTGGGGGCTAGTCATGGGATTGGACATCAGTTGGGGCCGATGGGGGTTGGGCATGGGGAGACGAGTTGTGTGCTGTTGCCGGCGGTTTGTACGTTTAATGCGCGGCATGGGGCGAACGGGGAGCGGCAGGAGAGGGTGAAGGGGTTTCTTTTGGGGCAGAAGGTTGTTGGGGAGGTTTTGGAGAGGAGAGGCTTGGATGCGACGAAGGTGGATCTGGGGGATGTGTTGGACGCGGTGATTCGGGAGTTGGGGATGCCTCGGTCGTTGCAGGATGTCGGGGTTGGTCGGGATCAGCTGGATCAGTTGGCTGAGAATAGTTTGCATGATCGGTGGTGTAAGACGAATCCGGTGCCGTTGACGGAGAAGAGTCAGGTATTGGAGATTCTGGAGATGGTGGTTGAGTAGATGTTTACTTGGTAATTGGTACATATACTGTAGATGTATGTAGAAGATGTTCCTGTATATATGGATGAGGAAAGACCGTATTGTGTGTATCTGCAATAATCTCATTTAATGGCATCCCTAAAGTCCGTAGACGCTATAGGCTCGTAAAAAGTAAAGCGACAAAATCCATATCATAGACATTCCCTGCAATTATCCCAATCTACTGGAAATAACTCCGCACCGCCGCCTGGTTGTCCGGGTTCACACCAGCCAGGATCTGATCTGCGTTAAGTCCGGTGGTAGCCACCAACTGCTTCGCCGAGTTGGCCACCCGGGCGGCTGTCTGCCCTTGCAAGGTCTCTGCCTCGAGAGCCTGGACGATGTATCCGAATACCTTGTCGGCGTTGGACATGACAGTGGGGTTTTGCCTGCATGATTAGTTAGCGCTATCCGACGCAAGAATGAAATTAGTAACTTACTGGTCAATGAGCTGAGCCAGGAATGAATAGGCATATGGAGCGGCCTCCTCATCGAATGTGATCGGCAGGGTGGTGATCCAGTTGGCCACAATCTCTTGTGGGTTCTGCACCTTGCTTGCATTGTAATGCAGGATCTTCGCAATACTAGCGGATGCGTTCTCGGTGGCGAACACATGTTCCTCTGTCCGGGACTGGTTGAACTGTGTTACCTGGAACAAACTGGGAAGGCTGGCAGCAACGAAATCGCTCCAGGCAGCGCCACCTTTCTGCGCGGCAACACCCACACCGTATGCGGCTGCTTGGCGGTTGGCTGCGTTCTGATCTTGCAACCCTGCTGCCAATGGCTGCATAATGTGATCCTTGTACTTCCACGACTCGGGCCCACAGAACTCCAGCACATCATCCATAATGCACAGAGCCCATTGGCGTTGTGTCGGGTCCTGGCTTGTGATGAACGCATCGTAGAACGGCATCAAAGTTTCCCACGTGGGAAGGAAAGATGTGCCTTGGTTCTTGAAGATTGTGTGGAAGGCCTTGTTCATATCGCTGAGCAGGTTCTGGTCATCTTCCACTGCGTACTCATATTCCAGGTTCTCCTCTTCGCCGTCCTCGGCCTCAGCACGCTCCTCCAGCCGAGCCTTGACACGGACCTGGTAGTCCTCCAACGTCGATTTGGCCGACTCGATGAAGGTCTGCAGGTGCTGCTGGGTGAGGCAGTTCTTGCCTACAACCTCCACGGATTCATAGAAGCACTGGTACATTTCTGCCAGGGTATCAACCGTGGGCTCCGCGCTCAGCACCTCGATGATCTTCTCAGCCACCTTGTTCCACATCTGTGCGAACCCAGGGGATTGGTCACCGTGGGCCTTCTTGTACGAGTTCAAGAGCTGAGGAATCAACTTAGCCGAGGACACTCGCACTGGGTCGTGGAAGAAGAAAGCAAGGCCAGGTACAGCAATCTTCTCCATAGTCTCCAGCACGTATGGCTCAAAGGCAGCCTCCAGAATCTGAGCATAGATGGTGATTAATTCAATGGCGGTGTTCTTGTCTTCCAGCGCGCTGGTTTTGATGCCGATGATCTTGCCCTTCAAAGGCACCAGCTCCCACCCTTCATCCTGCTCAACCTGGTCAATCTGATCCTCATCGTCTAGCAGTTGAATGTCCGCCTTGGCGGCTGCAACGGAGAGGAGAGGGGGCATAACACCAGGGAGATAAGGAACGAAGTCCTGGCCCAAGACACGGCACATGCGGCCCCAGCAGTGGAGCAGATACTGCGACTGGGGGTCGTCCGCATCGACGATGTTTTGTTGAATGTTTCCCAGCAACTGAACTAGGTTTAGAGCGTCCTGTCCCATCTTTTCCTTACCAACGGCCAGCGCAATTAGGGTGGCACATTCCATAGCCTTAGCACGCAGAAGACGGTATTCCTTGGACTGCTCCTCCTTCAATACGTTAAAGAGCAAAGGCATCAGGGTATCATAATATTGATCGAAAGCATTCTCAGCAGAATCGGCAATCGTAGCGATAGTGGAAAGAGCCTGTTCCTGGACGTAGCGCTTGTCGCTGCGCAGGAGCAGCAGAAGGTGGCGCAAAAGCTCGGCAAGGTAGGGCTCGAGGATCTTCCTCTCAGCCTCTTCGCAAAAGTTGACCAGAGCCGCGGCAGCGTGAGCCTGGACGCGAGGCTCGGTACTGTTCAACACTGGGATGATGTTGTTAAGAACAATCGCGTGGTACTTCTCTTGCATCGTGCCGGCAAAGTCAGTGCTCATCTGACCCAAGGCATTGCAGCCTGCATAGCGGACACGAGGGTGGGGGTCCTGGAGAGCGGGAACGACCAGTGCTAACACCTGGTCCAATTCACCAACCATCAGGTCGCGGCAGCCTTCCGAGATAGCGGAGATAGCCATAAGGGCCGCGTGGCGATCACGCCAGGCTGACGAAGACATCATCCGGGGTACCCAGGAGAAGGTAGCGGGAAGAACGACCTGTCCACCGAGTTTGTTTGCCAGACGGTCCATGCACTGTTCTCCAGCCACATGGTTGAGGTCGCTCTCCTCCAGATCAAGCTAGACAGGTCAGAATATGTGGTACACAGTGAACATGGACAACTTACATCCTCAGATGCGTTCCATTCGGAAGCATCATCATCATCGATACCGATGTCAGTCATGAGGCTCAGACACTGGGTCACCATCTCCTGTGCAAATTCAGGGTCCTTCTTGCACATGTTGGGAGAGTAGTCTGCAAATGTGGCCATCAGTTCCAAGGCGTTTTGGCGAACCTGGTCACTAAGGTCCTTATCGGCAATCACGCTGATACTGAACTTCACCAGATTGTTGAACACGCTCTTGAACATCTTGGGAGAGATCTCAGCCAGCTCAATGAGGGCCAGGAATCCCGCAGAAAGCTCGTCGCTCTCGGAAGATTCCTTCAGCGGAGGCAAAACGTTGAGGAGGTCTGGCACGAGCTGGAAAAACTTGGGCTGGGATTTCTTCGAAATCGAGCGGAAGAAGGAAGCGAAAGCCTCCATCGCAGCAATGCGCACCTACAAACAGACGGTCAGAAAAACTGCAATTCCACCAGGCGATGCTGAGGAGTAAACGTACAGAGACAACGTCATCCTTGAAACCTTTGCCGAACACACCCTGAACGGCGTCTTCGTGGGGCTTCTCAATGATTCCCGGGGTAGTCGAGAAAATGCGGAAAGCGGCCTCACGCAAGCCAGCATCGGGGGATTGGCTGGCCTGGAAAAGAACCCCAAGAAGCTCAGGCCATTGGTCACCTAGAAAAGTCACTCGTCAATCCTAGGATTTCCCAGGTCGTCCAGGCTGCATACCGTTATCCGTGTACTGTCTCGCAATCTCAGCCACTGCGTCGCCGATCTTCTTCCGGACATCCGTCACAGTCTCAGTCGTCAAACAGGTAACCAGCTTCTGTCGAATGACCAGACGTTGCTCTCCAGTAAGTGTTGAGAAGAGCTCTTTGGCTTCATTTGTGACAGGGTCTTTCCGAGTCTTGGTGGATATTCTCCTGAACAGTACCGCGGCGAATGTACGTGTCTGTGGTAATCAATAAGAATGAGGATGAGGACCGATTGTGGAGGAGAAGGCCATGGAGCAAGGTGATCCGTCTCGGCGCTTTCATGCGACCTTCCCCCTTGTATTCCGAGTCGAGGCACTTACTACTAGTTCCTCTGCGCCTTGAATTTGCTCCGCTAAGCCCATCAAAAGGACATCCGGACGACCTTGAATCCAATCATTATTCAACTGTTCTTCCGCCTGCGTACGGACTGTGTTGTCCGGGGTGGTCAACGCGCGCAGCAGCTGGGAGAGCGCGGAGTGGACCTCGGGGGGTAGCAAAGACATCTCGTCTGCTTAAGCTGAAGGGTCCAACCGAACGGAACAAACGAAGTGGCGATCCAGGAAGATGTTCAAATGCAGGCTCAGTGCTGAACCCAGACGGCGAGTGGGGTAGCGGTTAGATAGGATTTTTCTGGAATTGTTTTGGTGGGGGGGGATATAGAGGGGGAAGTAGTGTCAAAAGACCCGTACTCAAGGAGATCAGTAAGTGGATTATCTCTCAAGAAAACACACAGTTCAAACGCAGGCTCAGCATCCCAGCTGGGTCCAGAGCTGCAGATGAACTGAAGGGGAGAATTAGAGGTTCGCGAGGGAGCGAATAATGGATGTGGGATGAGGGAACTGAGCAACCAAAAGTCCAACCCAAAAAATTCCAGCGATTCGAGGCAACTCCGCGCTAGACCCAAACAGGGCAATTCCAGGCATCAAGGCATCACTGCAGAACCGACCACTCCAACTTGTCAGCATCCAATCTATGGACTAGCAACCAGTAGGATTGCAAACATCGTGCTCTACCGATCTAGAGTAGCACTAGATCCCTTCGAATATATTAGGCCGGTGAAAGAACTGAAACAAAAAAAAACCGAATCTTTTCTATGCGCTGTAAATCACACTATGCTTTCACTAATAACAGCAGCGGTATCCGAACAGTCAATATCAGAAATTAATGCAGACAACAGCTAAACGATGGCCAAAAAAAAGCGGAGAAACAGCGCTCTCGGGTTACACTGACGAAAAGACAAAAGAACTAAATACAACAATACCACCAATTCAACCGTATCAAACAATGCGCGCTAGACTCGTATTACCGGGAAGTGGCCCGGCTCAGGACGAAAACACCTGCAATGACAGCGGCCAGTGTGACAATTGCACCAGGAAGGAGTAACTCGTTAGGTACACCAGCAATGAACTGCTCTTCTGGGTGATGTGACGAGAAAGTCTGAGACCGGGGCTTAGACGCATATGGCTCCTCCGACAACTGATCCTCGGGTACTGGGGAGACCCTCTCCTCCACAGGCTTGACAGGTGCGGGTTGGGGTTCGAGAGTAGCAGGAATTGGAGGCTGCGTCGGGTCATGAACAAAGAGATCCACCTTGTCCCGACGCGATTGGCGTGCCAAAGTAACTGCATCCGCAAGGTCCTGATCAGTAGTGATCGAGACAGTGTCTCCCTCATTATCCAAATAGCTCAAAGCATAGCCTGTGTTGCTAAGTTTACCCTCCTCGCAGGTTGCCGCACCACCGACGGCCTCCGCCTCAGATCCTAGCTTGGCCGTGACTTGAGCAACTAGATCAGCAATGCCAGCAGAGGGGAGAATGTTAACACGGTGAACCCGGCCGCTTGGTGCCTTGAACTTGAAGGGGAACGGAACATGTTCGCCATGATGATGGTGATCAATGTATTCGGAGTGCTCATCGCCGCCATGGTGAGAAGCCGACTCGTTAGGAAGCACACTGTCTCTGGCGTCATAACTAGCCTTCGGAGACTCAGGACTGAGTACTGACCGATGATTGGGCTGTTGGCTACCAGACACCATCGAGTCGGATTCATGGTCCATAGACAGCCAGAACTTGTTCCATGCCGGGCCTTCGTCATCATGCGTCGACATCGAATTGATCTTGAAATACAATTAGGTACTCTTGCAACTATTGGGGGTGCAAAGTTATTTACTAACCTGTTCTAAAGTGGCATATGTGAGTTTCAGCACATCGACCATTCCAACAATCTCGCCCGTCTCATTCATAACTGGCAAATTCAGGTAGTGGCCGTCTGTCAAAATTTAAAGGTTAGTGGCTGTATATTAGGAAACTCCATGGGCTATAACTAACCATGCATCTTCCGTAGCGCGGCTTGAATACTCATATCGGCGGGCGCAAAATCAGGGTGAGGTGTCATGACGCGAACCACACTACATGTCGACGGATCAAGACCAGGAGCGATGACACGCAGTACGATATCTTTGCTGGTGAAGATACCGGTGATCGAGCCCTGATCCTGTACTAGAAGGGCGGTCGTGTGGTGTTCCTTCATCATAGCAGCGGCTTCCTTCACAGATGTGCGAACGGAGACTGTAACAGGCGGCATACCATCAAGGACAGTCTCAAGAGTCGGACCAGACATCTTCGAACGCAAGGCTTCGACATACTGGATGATCTGCTGAGGCTGGCTGGAGCCGAGTTCCGTCTGAACACCTTCCAGCGCATCGTATAACTTGCGGGACGAACTGTATGCGCGCTCCAACTTCTCCATCGCATCGTAGAAGCACTTAGTGATATCGAGAACACCAGAAATATCCTGGTTCTCATCCATAACTGGCAAATGTCTGAAGCCCTTCCTAACCATGAGGTCGAGTGCATCGGTAGCACTGGTATCGGTTCTCGCGCACAAAGGGTTCTTGGTCATGATTTCGGCGACAGTAATATCTCGAGCTTTCTGGCCAGCACCCACCACACGAAACGCGAGATCCTTAGCAGTGAAAATTCCGGCAATGCGATCATCATCGTCGGTAACCAAAACACAATCCTCCCGCTTCGCTGCCATCAATTGAGCGGCCTCCGCAATGGTCATGTTAGGCTTAATCTGAAGAGCTTGACTAGGTTTCAGGGCGAGAACGGTTCCTGGCGGAGCTTTCCGAGAGCGATGCGCCCTTGTCGGGGCTTGCTTCTTCTTGTTGAGGTCTGCCTCCATCTTTCGGCGGATAGCCTGATTTGGGTATTAGAATAGGAGTAGAGAGTTGCATAACCATTTGCAGTATTTCAGATTACAATGGGGTGGTTTGGAGAAAAGAGGGGAATAGGCGCGAGAGGCAGAAAAAAAAATCGGTCAACAGAGATGGGATACAAACGACGTGCTTAAAACTTCAAAGCACCCATTATAGCTATAAAGCGGCACATAACGTAGCTAAGGGAAAAGGACCATACCTCATCTCGCTTCGACTGATTCTGTCTTTGTCTGCTTGCAGCACTCATGGTTGAACTTCCAATGTCGCTGGAGGGTGTGTGAGGATTGGGAGTGGAAGAAGCGGTCTCAGGCCGAGGACGCGGAATGTGGGATGCCGGACTATCGAAGTCGGGCAACCTACCTCTGCCCACAGTCTTGTGGCCAGTAGTAGTTCCCCTGTACGTTCCAGTGGCCGACATGTTGTCAACCAACAGTACTGCAGGTACGGTTACGCAATGTGGGTGGTCAGTGGGTGTGAGGGGAGAGGGTAAAGGGGATGAAGGGAATTGGGGAGGAAAGGAGAGCGGAGACAGGTGTGTATGTATGTATGTAGTAATATGTACTAGTACTAAGTACCCTCAATACTCAGGTTCACGATAGACCAGCACAAGTCAAAGTAAGGGAAGAGAGGGAAGAGAGACACAATAAATTGAGGGCCAACGAGAAAGTTACGGGCAGACAGGGGGTCTCGAGTGGGTTTAGACTCAGTCGGGTGGACGAACTATTAGCTGTTAGTTTATGACAGAAATGGGACGATTGCCCTGTTATGATGAACGGGTAAAGTAAACAAAGTACCCGTATTGGCGTATCGTAAGATTCTCGGCTCCAAGTAAGACGGGAGGATCGGCACGTGAACACATCATATGTCCCTCATCCCTGTCTGGGCGCCTCAGGCCACTCCCGCGGGCGGAATGGTTTTTAGCTTGCCTCAGGCAGAAAAGGCCCTCTGCGCTCCGCCTCAGGCACTGACACATCCCGTGACTAGGCCTCGCTTAAGGGCATAGGGCTTTTGCACATGACTGGCCTCGCACAACCTCATCACGAGTCTTCCGGTGCTTCACGACAACCAAACCCGACAAGCCAAGTACGCGACAACCTCCCCCTTACCCCTGACTCTTCATTCTCTGACCCATAGTTCTAGAGAAAAGCCGTCAAGATGGTCAAGAAGAGGGCGAACAAGTAAGGACCGACCCTATCTCCTATACCCGTCCGATTTCATTCCATGCGTACCTTTTGATATGACGCCTACGGTTCCGGTAAATTCTACATGGCCGTGGGAACCCGGCTACCGACGAGTGTTTTTTTGTTAAAAGAACGGAAAACGGAAAGAGGCAAATTCAGGAATCATCGAAACTGACAGTTCTACAGCGGTCGTAACAAGAACGGCCGCGGCCACACTAAGCCCGTGCGCTGCTCCAACTGCGCTCGCTGCGTCCCCAAGGACAAGGCCATCAAGAGATTCACTATCCGCAACATGGTTGAGTCCGCTGCCATCCGTATGTTCGAACCTGATACCCGCAATTAAACCCCACATTCGCCGCGCACTGTTGTTCAGAAGAGCTGGAATCGAGATATGGAATTGGAGAAGGGACTGTGAAAGAAGAGGGCAACAGCACGCACGAATTGATGGGATACGATTTGCAACCGCAACTGGGGCTGACTCGACGATTCTTACTGTATAGGTGATATCTCTGACGCCTCCGTCTTCACCGACTATGCCGTCCCCAAGATGTACCTCAAGCTGCAGTACTGCGTCTCCTGCGCTATCCACGGCAAGATTGTTCGGTACGCATACATCCCCGACTTGTGATATACTTTGGCGAATTTTGTGCACTACTGGGGAAATTGAACTTAGCTGACGGATATTCCTATTACAGTGTCCGTTCCCGGGAAGGTCGTCGCAACCGTGCCCCCCCTCCTCGCATCAGGTACAACAAGGACGGCAAGAAGCTGAACCCCCCTCAGGCCGCTAAGGCTATGTAAGGAAGGGAAACAGAAGAGAAAAATGGGATTAGTTTAAAAGGCTTGTTTCTTTTCTTGTTTCTTTACTGAACAGACTTTCTTACTCGGTTCAAATGGAATGAATGGGTTTCAGTTTTGGGGTCGAAGGCTTGCATTACGGGTTGCCCGTGGGCAGGAGACGCAAATAAAACAAAACAAAATCTAAACATTTACTGTTCACAAAAGGTAAACGAACATAGCCCAGTGGAGACGGGAACCGGATGCACCTAGTTGGTTCGGCCAGGGGCTTTCATGATTCCATTGTATGTCGACGTTTTGACTTGGTGACGAATGGGAATCCAAGCTCATATAACGACTGAAAGAGAAAATGATCAGATACTCAAAACGATTCCGCTTCCATTGTAAAACGCTCTAGTGGCCTCTATTTGTAGTTGCACTACCTTAGCCCCACTACAGTCCCATTATACTTATGTCAGGTTACCTGTGGAGATCCCTCTATAAATGCATCACCATGACTCTCACGGCTAGAGTTTTGTTTCGGGGTATCTAACTTCTTGACATAATACAGAACTGAGTGAATACACGTCTGCGGTCTAACAGCAACTTCCAAGCGATGCATATGCTCACAAGGCTCAGGGATATAGGTATCCTTTCTCGAAGTAATTCCCATACATATCAACCACTCCGCTCCGCCCTTTGGGTGCGGGGTTTCGGACAATTTTCACTTCACCTTTCCAATACCCTTCCACGTAATGCGACATGGCCAATTGAGGTGCCGAGACTGCTGTCAGAGTAGATAGGCTTGGAGAAGGCGACAGTGGCCCGAATGATGATAACGACCCCGACGGAGAGAGGAGCGAAGACGTAGTGCCTACCGTACTCCTTCTCTTCCGGTCCGTGCGCAACAGGTCTTCATATTCAGCTTTCTTTAAACGCCTAAAAGCGGCCAATTCAGTGACGAGGTCAACCTCAGGAGCATCGGTTTGAGGCGAAACCACGCTGCCGTCATTCCGCGCTAGTCCAGAGTTGTTGAAAGAGGGACGAGAATAGCTGCCAGAAGAGGAGGGGAAATCCGGACGGTGCAACTTCTGCGCAGATGTAACCGGCGTTGAATTCCCTGAGTTGCCAGAATCGTCATCTTCCGGGATCAAAGTGACTTTCTCGTTGAGAGCAGCCATTGGAAAGTACCTCCCCGGGTCATGATTCGGGACCCCACATTCGTCCTCTCCAAAGAAACTGAAGTCGTCCGCTGCTGCTGCCCACAGTTTTTCTAAGTCTCGATCCCCAGTGCTTGATTTTGGCGCCCCTTGTTGGTAGCTCATTGGTTTCCACGCAGTTAATTTAGCCGTTGTTCTCTCAACAGGAGTCACTTCAAGTACCAAGCGCCGCAGGGCAAACAGAGACCGAGATCGTTCTTGCTCAGCTTTGGCTCGAGCTCGACCAGGAGGAAGCGAATAGTCTGATCCTGCTTGAAGCGTTGCCAGCAACGCCTCATCTGAGCAGGCTGTTATAAAGCGGATTAGAGACCTCAAGATTGGGGAGTTTGCGGGAACATGGGACGGAACATCAGTCAAGACTAGTGTCTCAAGATGGGGGACAAAAGAAGGATGCAGATAAGGAAAACCGTTCTCCTTGTTATCTTTTCGAGGCAGTACGAAATTCTTTGGTCTTTTTGACACCAGTTCTTGGATTTTCTGGGTTTTGGGGTCATCCATCATTACTGGAGATGCACATCTTGGAATCGTACCAGGCGTCTCCGAGTTCTCATTGAACTCCGACTCGGTCGGGATTAAGCCTTCTTGAGCCTGGGCTGGATGGAGCGGACTAATGGTAATATGTGTAGCATCACCATCTGTCCTGATGTGGGGAGTCTCAACCACCTCAGGGGCAAAAACAGAGCCTCGTCTTCGTATGGGCAATGGCTCATCTTCACGGATAGGCGCCTGTGTACCATTTCCGGAACGTTGAAGGTCTGTTCTCCATGCCTCTGGTACTGGTGACCCTGCAAGCTCAAAAATGGGAGCTTCCTCTGCGGGGAGCTCATGGATCACGTTCGCGGCGTCTAGCTCCGGGGTTTGATCTTCACTTTCAGCCGGAAGTTCAGCTACAAATCCATCCGATGACACGGAGTCTTTCCAAGGGGCATCGGCGGTGCAAACTGCATGGTGAGCACGTAAGTATGTTAGGTTCTCTTTTGCGGCAGAACCCAGAATTGGTATCAATTTCTCAGCGCCAGGAAGTTTTCGGGGGTCTTTGTGGTATGAAGATATAACACGCGTATCCCGAATAGACTCGGCGGTATCAACAGTTCCTACATCAAGAGTGTGAAGTCGGTATGAAGCTATAAGGCTTGCGACACCCTCGACTGTAATCCGGTTATCTGCGATATATAAATGTGTAATGCCCGCATGCGGTACACTCTCAACCCACGAACGACCCGTCAAGGGCTGTGTTAACGCTTTCATAAACTGCTCATCTAATGTAGGACAGCTGAGCCATTTCGAATCAGTCGGTGGTGATGTTGCTGGAGTGAAAGGTCCTGGAGCTATCGTTCCCACCACTGGACCATGACTGACTGCAGGATTACCTGGTGATAGGAAAGAAGCTTGTAGTAAAGACCGCACGGCCATATCAGTGAGCCTATTATCCCGCAAGTCTAAGTAGCGAACTCTCAGGCCAATAGCATTGGCTAAGAACTCCGCGTCGCTATCTCTTAACCCAGTGCCGCGTAGTTTCAAGACCTGCAGATGCTCCAATTGAGATAAAGCAGATAGAACACTACAGTCTCGAGCTGGAGTGGTATATGACAGATCAAGATATATAAGTTCCTGAAAACGCAATAGAGCCTCTGCAAGCCCCTGAGAGGTTGTATTAGGTTCGTGGTCCGCCAACAACAGACGAACGTTGTATGAATGAGGGACTGCCTCGTTGACCTGTTCTTGGTTCGTATTATTTCTTAAGGCTATCATAGAATTATGGTCAAAGAAGGGCAATTTAGAGACAATCAGAGACTGAAGGCATGGTAAATATTCGAGAATCTCCCTCAGCCATTCCGGTCGCGGACCTCCGTATATTTCTGAAAGAGCGGGAGGAAGATGAAGTGTATGTGTTAGCATCCGCACCTCCAACCTGGCATACACTAGGGTTCTCCTAAACCTTGTTAAGGCGACTACAATGCAGGTATCTTGTCAGCTCAGATCACGAAAGGTGTGTCCAGTGGGATTACCATAAACGGCATCATTATCAGTCCCAAAATGGGATGCAGGATCACCCCACAAGAACGGCATAAAAAGTGTGTGCCATTTCCGACAGACTAATGTAGCAGCGCATAGGTCGCTAGATGGGATATATGTAGCAATAAAGGACCACGCATCTCTGGTCGTTGCGGACTGGTAAGATGGGGGTACAAGATCCATCTTCTTACCGCTTGCTGAGTGATAATGCTAAGCTTAGGCTAAGACAGCATCGCAACAATAGGATCTTATATCCAGAAATGTCTCTGTCAAAACCCGAAAGAGATGTCGATATAAAGCTTGTCAGGTGCACCACATATGGCTTCAGGAAGCCAAGAAAACCCGGCCCCCATGACCACCCACAAAGAAAGGCCTAGCACTGCCACTTTTTCGTAATGGGGCGCAGAAGCCATAACATATAAGCTTCTTGGTCCACTAGATCAAACAAAGATAGCGAAAATATGTAGATATGAAAGTCTACATAGTACACTTCTACGTATACTATTGTTTGAAGAATTTAACCGTCATAAGAAGATCCTTAGGCCAAGTACGGAGTGCGTAGTATCTACCCACCTACGGAGGGGTTGTACGGAGTATTGCTATTAACGCTCAGTACGGTAATTTACGTCAATCAACACTCCAGATCTGTAAATAGATTACGCCGGGCGTATGGATCTCCCCTGACGTCATTTCTCTTATCAGAAAAATAAAAATAAGGAACAAGATTCTCTCATCTGAGCATCGAACCAATTTATATTCAATAGGCTTCACCAACAATACTCCCAGGCTTGGTTTACTATTGGCCAAAATGAACACCTGGCAGCGAAACGTTCGAATGCTACATCAAATAAGCGAGATACTGGACCTCGACTCCGCCAAATCAGATACAGTTGCCGAGCTCATCGAGCTCATTGAAGCAATGCGAGAAGGTCTTACTCAAGTTAACGAAGAATGTCGGATCGCAGACTCTCAAATTAACATTCTATTTCTAAACAAGCTGAGGTCACGACCAGAATGGAAGAGCTGGGCGACGGATATGCTTCGTAATAGTCGATTGGACTCTTCAAACCCAACAGACAAGATGACGTTCCAAGAGCTTTCAGAGTTGGCTATGAGACATGAAAAGGTCATGAAGGGGAAGAAGCGAAATATCCAACATTCGCGGAGTAAAAGCACGCCTCATTCTTCTCTTGATGTACCATCGTCTCGAAAGCTTACGCAGGAGGAAATAAACGCATTCGTTGTTCAGCAGATGAAACGAGATGAAAAGGCACCACGACATAATGAAACCGTTCGGCAGCACAGCAAAAAACCCAGTCAAGAGGAGATTAATCACTATGTTGCCCAGCAGATGCGTCGGGAACAAGAGCGCAAAACGAGGATGAGAAGCCACAGTCAGCCGGAGCCGAGAGCGCAAACAACCCATGTGCGATCAGCGCCCACGCGCTGTACTTTCTGTGGTGACTCTTCTCACCGGTACGACAATTGCTGGCGTCGATTCAGGGTGGCTGTTGAGGTACCACATGGTAACTTCGTGCCGAAGCGTGTCGAATTTAGGACAGAAGTTCCAGGCCAACCTCCTATGTATCGGTCGGGATTTAGTCTTGTTTAGGGCCGTTTCTTTTGTCCCCTCCGTAAGTTTGGCGATGACGAGGACATAGAGCCGATATTACGGTTGAATACGGTTACACGATCTACTGCTTCGCTTCATCTTTTCGTGGAAAATATCAATCTCGGCTGTGGCAACATTCAGCTACAGATGAATATCCAACTGAGTGTTCCAAGAACACAAATATAACATACAGTATCTGCTTTCACAGTTGGCCTTTCACCAAATGGCGGGTTGCATGTTCCAGTCTTCACTTAAGGCAGACCTGTCGGTCTGTGATGAGCGATTGTTGGGAACCCTAGCTGGCGGTCCATTAGTTCCTTGAAAGTCGGGTCTCTTCGCAAAGTAGCCTCTACGACTGGCCCATCGCCCTCCAGCTCCAGCTCCATCTTCCGCAGTCTCGCTTGGATTGCCACACAAGCGTCGGCCCACGCGCAAACCGTACCCGATAGTCCCTCATGCAGGGAGAACGGGCGGTCGGGCATACGATAAATGTTTTCAGGCAAGTTGCTGTAAGGCGGCGTCTCCCGCGCATGCAATAGCAGTGTTAGCGCTCGAGACAGAAAATAGTCGCTTGAGAGATTGTCTTCTAGGTGTTTAGTCTCGATCGCCTCGGTTCGCTTTATGTAGTTACGCTTCGCTGTCTGCATCATTTCAACATCATACTCGAAACTGTCGTGCATCAGTAACAGTGGCAGTGCATTTCCAGCAATGCCATGGCACAGACTGCCACCCTTAGATAGCAGCCCTTCTCTCCAGATGCTTTCAGCTGCTAACTGAATGGCTTCATCCCATTCGGGTACCCAGTACTCAGTGACCAACGAGCTTCTTCTTGCACATGCCATAAGAACCAACAATCCAGGGCTACCATGACATAACTGGACAAGTGGAGATGAATGGCGGGAAGATGGAGGAATGCGGGTAGGGAGGTGTCCGTTATTAGCAATACATATCTTGCATAGACCCGTGATAGTACCCGCTATCCAAGGGAAATATTTGCGCGAAGCGTCACCATTGGCCTCCTCGGCATGACAAGCAAGGATGATCGCAAGAACACCGGCTACGAAGTATTAGCTCGGAAACGCCCTGCTGGAAACTTGCTTTTCTCTATGGACATACCGATACCATGAACACTTGAACTCTCAGTTAGTATGCGGAATCTTGTAGGTTTTCTCGGGGGTTGACACTCACGCTCCTAAATAAAATCGGCCTTCTTTCCACGACCACATCAAGGGTAGCGCGTCCTTCTCTCCGTGCATTTTAATGTAATCCTTCTGGCCTTGCCTCCCGGCATCAACTATCACGTCCACGAGGTTAGGTAGAGCTTTGAAAACAGGTTGTAGGCGCTTCCTTGTGTCCTCATCGAAGTGCAGGACCCGGAGATTAAGGATGGACCACAGCAATCCAGGTCGACCGTAAATAAGTTCATCGCCTCCCATCATTTTATCTCCCTGAGGTACCATGGATCCATTTTGTATTGCTAGTTTGACCGCATCTTCAAGAGAAGTAATGTCAGCATCAGAGATGACACTACCATCTGTAGCTGCTGCTAAGATACGCATCAGAGCTCCTGTTACTGGGGAAAACGAGCCCAAAGGCGACAGCCAGCCTGGTTTCAGAAGCAAGTCCGGCCCATGCGACACTATTCGCTCCCTCGCTAGTTTACCGAAGTCGATAGGAGCCTTGCCTGGCTCTGTCAAGGATAAAGCTTGACGCTCAAGCCGCAGGAATGCAAGAGCGGTCCCTTAAATGCAGTCAGTTAGATAGGCAACGTTGATACTGTAGAGACTTATAAGGCATCCTATGTATATATGCTTGATGTTGTCGGTTCTGGAATGGGGGAGTCTACAGTACCTGCTACTCCCAAGTACAAGCCGGCACTACCCCACTCCGCTGAAGGAGGGCAGCCTTGTTGCACCAAATGAGCTCCATGGTCAACAGCTTCACGGAATTCATGGAGGGCCTCCTGCAAATTCTCTTTGTTTATCTGGAGTGGCTCCAGCGTGTTTGGATAATATTGAGGGGCACTCATGATGGCGGCATGTGGTTTGTTCAACCAGTTGTGGAAAGAAGTTTAGGGTACGAGAATACTCGCCTACTAGTATGTGAGTTTGGTTGGTTTACAAATATGGGAAAGATTGTCCAGCGAGTGAAATAAGTCTTTTGCACAGGTAATCTTTCAGCTGTTAATGCCTTACGACTTCTTATGCGCGTTGATGTTAAGTGACAGTGATAGGTCGGTGAGCTGTCCAAAATATATTGTAATGTGGAGAAGAAGTGAACTTTCGTTGGCTTTTGTACTGACTATCTCGCAAAATCAGATGAATCATGGTGATACATCATTACATGGACGAGGCTCTGCATCGGAAGGAGTATATATAAATTGAATATATTTTTTTTTAAAGGTCGTTTGCGATACCATGAAATTGCCGGTAGTTTGTCGGTAGTTCAGCGAGAATTCGTGGATACTCCCAGGAACTCTTCTGGCGGGGATGATTGAACTTAACCCCAATGGGAAATTAGCACCTGAGGCTTCCATACAGTCTAGTAGGGATAGTATTACCGTCCCCGGATCAACCATAAACCCGCCAGCGGGACGACGTTTTCTCAGCTGCGTTCACATCATTCCGGACTCTAGAATACTCGGCGGTCCTCGAAGTGCCCCTCGGGGACAATCAAGTATTAAAGGAGAAACGTTGTTTCCGACTCTTCCCACAGAAAGTCTGTGCTTCTAGACCCTGTTCTGGTAATGTCCCTGCCACGGTTTTTCCTATCTGGGTCCCTCCTGTATCTTGCTTGATTCGTAGTCTCTGTGATGGCATTTCTTGCTATGTCTGCCCCGCCTGGTCTATTATCCCAGCGCTTCACACTTGTCATATACCGAGTCGCAGCTTGCAATCCCATCGGATTAAATGAATGTTTTGATATTTGCTCAATCAACTAATAATGGTAAACAGTCCCGTGACCGGCTCGGCCGGCCCAAGGTTTCAACATGCCTGCTGTACATGGGGATTTAGCGTCTATGGTGATGCCTACAGACCAGGAGCTGCTACCGGAGATCTACCCTCGGCAGGTTACCCTTCGCGATCGCGTTACGGTCGCGACCCTGGTGCCCTTTCTGTCGCCCGATGATGTGCCCCCGTCTCTGTTGGGCTACCTATCAGACCAATTAAATAGTGAAATCGAAAAGGGCGACACCTATGCTATGATTGACCCTATTCCGTACGATGAATTTAAGCACTATTGGTTCTCTCACTTCGGTGCTATCATGCTCCTCGGGGATATCAAGAATACCCAGGATGTCATGCTCCTGGACAGGACGGGGGCAGCAAATTGGCCCAAGCTCTGTCTGGGCAGCTTTACCGTCAGACCCAACTACCCTGGCCGTAGTAGTCATATCTGCAATAGCATGTTCCTTGTCACCGATGCCTCTCGGAATCGAGGTGTTGGCCGACTGATGGGGGAAGGATACCTAGAGTGGGCTGCAAAACTGGTCAGTACCAATCGCACTGATGAATTCTTCCGTGAACGCTCGGTTAGCCCAGTGGGTTATCGTTATGTGATAGGTTGCGGACGTACCCGAAGTCTCACATATCTGACAATCTGCAGGGGTATACATATGCCATGTTCAACATAGTCTATGAGAGTAATGTTGCCTCTTGTCGTCTCTGGGACTCTCTAGGGTTCAAACGGATCGGAAGAATACCAGGAGGTGGTAGACTCGCCTCCAATCCTGGACAATACGTTGATGCGATCATTTATGGCCGGGACTTGGGACCCGAGGGTGAGGACTCTGTCACCCAGGATCGCTTTGACAAGATCCGGTATTACCTGAAGCATTCAAAGTATCCTAGGGGCGCCGACAGGGCCGAGAAGAGCCGGCTTAGAAGTGCAGCAACCCACTATAAACTGGTTGGGGGGCAAGACGGTGAAACCGAGAAGCTCATGCTGAAAGACAAAGAAGTAGTGTCGGATCCGCAACAGCAGTACGATATCGCTCGGGAGATGCATGTACAGCAGCATGCTGGCATCAATAAGACTACAGCAGCCATTGCAGTCAAGTACCATTGGGTCCGGATCAAGGAAACTGTAAGCAGAGTCATCCGAGACTGTCCTCAGTGCAAGGAGACACTCAAATCGCCCTTGGCCAACGGGCTCTTCATGAATGAAGATATGCCAGAAGAGGAGGATCAAACAAGCAGTCGCGAGAGCGAGCCTAGTATGCCTACCAGCGAGAACATGGGAGCAAACCCGCTCATGGACCATGTATCTCTGGATGCCCATCAAAGCCAGAATCCTTTTGTCACCACCCATCCATCCGTTGTTCCAGGATCAGTAGATTCTATCAGCGATTATGTCATGCCTCTCGACCCCCAAATCATTGATATTCACCAGCAACTTCCCAGATTCCAAACTCATGATGCTATGACCGACCCATATACGCACGGCCCTCATGGCTTGTCTAGCTCGCATTTTGATGACGATGTGCGGCATCATGCAGCTAGTGATTACCATATGATGGTTGATGACCCATCTGATCCAGACCCTGGATCGGCACTCCATCAGGATGCACTTGGGTTAGTGCATTCACAAGTTAGTGATGTGCATCACCACGAACAGATACTGGCCAAGTATCACTATGTAGGGCAACCAGATGATGACTTGGACTTTACGTGATATGCTTTATGCTCACACCTTTTTTCTCTGTTTTTTTCAGCCCACTTCTATCGGGTCTGATTTGATTTTTTCCTTTTATATTTTTCCTTCTGGGGTATTGTCTTTCTCTACAGCATTTCTTGACGGCGTTCAATGCAAGTTGGGCTTGCATCAATCATTATGGATCATCGGATAACTACGGCTGCGGAAATCTGTATTACTAGCAGTATGATAGAAAGTGGCGTGAAGATCATAATAAATGATAAGTAATAGGTCGATAAAAGGTCCTTCAAGCAGGTTGTTAAAGGATGTATACAAGTCTGATTAGAGTATAAAATTGGTTGAGGGGTTGTAGGGTTGCGGAGACGCGGTATGATTGGTCACCGCCTCAGTGCTTTGGCGACATCGAGAAGCTCGGGGAAATTTTGGTCAAGAGCATTATTGAATCCCCCCCGAGCTGGTAACTTTCAGGGCCACTTTCCATCTCCCGTGTGTCTCTTTTTCTCTACCGGTCTTTACCAACCCTATTTATCGGTTCTTTTCGAAACAAATTAATCAAAATGGCCTTCGCTGGCCAGGCACCCACTATCATTGTGCTTAAGGAGGGTCCGTTTCTTGCCCGCATTCTGAACCCCCTCCACTGTGTGTCCGACGTGTTTTGTTCGCTGACTTTTCCACGATTCTTAATTGCTTAGGCACGGATGCCTCTCAGGGAAAGGGTCAGATCATTTCTAATATCAATGCCTGTGTTGCCGTGCAATCTACCATCAAGAGCACTCTCGGTCCGTATGGAGGAGACTTGTTGCTTGTCGACGGCAACGGCAAGCAAACCATCACGAACGATGGAGCTACAGTGATGAAAGTGTGTTCGACTTGAGTTCAATAGACTAACTTCCATCGACCGTGTAATACTAATACGTGGCGAACCTAGCTCCTGGATATCGTGCACCCCGCCGCCCGCATTCTCACGGATATTGCCCGGTCCCAAGATGCCGAAGTAGGAGATGGAACGACATCGGTCGTTGTTCTTGCCGGTGAGATACTCAAGGAGGTTCGTGAACTGGTTGAGCAAGGTGTGAGCGCACAGACGATCATTAAGGGTCTACGGAGGGGAAGTGCCATGGCCGTCAACAAGGTGAAAGAAATCGCAGTCGACATGATCGAGGCTGCCGGAAGCGAGGAGAAGAAGGTCGAAACTCTACGACGATTGGCCGGAACCGCCATGAACAGCAAGCTCATCAAGCGCAACTCGGATTTCTTCACCAAGAGTAAGAGCCCCTGTGTGACTGGACGGAAGCGGATACTGACTGTGTGTAGTGGTGGTGGATGCTGTGCTCTCACTCGACCAGGATGATCTTAACGAAAAGTTGATTGGTGTCAAGAGAGTCACTGGTGGTGGTCTGCAAGATTCCCTCTTCATCAACGGTGTTGCCTTCAAGAAGACCTTCTCTTATGCCGGTTTCGAACAGCAGCCGAAGTACTTCAAGGACCCCAAGATTGTTTGCTTGAACGTCGAGCTGGAGTTGAAGAGCGAGAAGGACAACGCCGAGGTGCGTGTCGAGCAGGTGTCTGAATACCAGGCCATCGTCGATGCGGAATGGCAGATCATTTACAACAAGCTGGAGGCTATCTACAAGACAGGGGCCAAGGTTGTTCTTAGCAAGTTACCTATCGGTGATTTGGCCACGCAGTACGTATTTGCTGTGATGCGTCTGCTGTTACTAGTCTATCTAACCGTGATCCCAGGTATTTCGCTGACCGTGACATCTTCTGCGCCGGTCGTGTTGCGTCGGATGATATGGACAGGGTGTGCCAGGCGACCGGAGCAGCCACACAGTCGACATGCAGCGACATCCAAGAGCGTCACTTGGGTTCTTGCGGTATTTTTGAGGAGCGCCAGATTGGTGGCGAACGCTACAACCTGTTCTCGGAGTGCCCTGCCGCTAAGACGTGTACGCTCGTGCTGCGCGGTGGTGCGGAGCAGTTCATTGCCGAAGTTGAGCGGAGTCTGCATGACGCCATCATGATTGTCAAGCGTGCTCTTCGGAACACGACCATTGTCGCAGGTGGTGGTGCTACTGAGATGGAGCTGTCGAGCTACATGCACGGCTTCGCCGACCGCAACGTGCCTCACAAGCAGCAGGCAGTTGTCAAGGCATTCGCCAAGGCCCTAGAGGTGATTCCTCGTCAGCTCTGCGACAATGCCGGTTTCGATGCGACTGACATCCTGAACCGGTTGCGCGTGGAGCACCGCAAGGGTAACGTTTGGGCCGGTGTTGACTTCGATAACGAGGGAGTCCGTGATAACATGGTGGCATTCGTGTGGGAGCCTAGTCTAGTCAAGGTCAACGCCATCCAAGCCGCCGTGGAGGCAGCTTGCTTGATTTTGAGTGTCGATGAGACTATCAGTGAGTACCCACCGTTCTCGCCTAATCCTCTATGCCTTTTGTTTTGTTTGTTGTATCTCTATTGGCTGACACGAACGCGTTACAGAGAACGAGGAGTCTGCCCAGCCCCAGGCACCTGCCCGTGGACTTCCCCCGGGTGCTGCCCAACGGGCTCTTGGTGGAGGAAGAGGGCGCGGCATGCCCCGGCGGGGTCGGTAAATTTAATGCGTGAGAGGAAGGATGCGATGTGGTTTGTGATGAAGTTAGAGAACAAAAGCCATGCAATAGTTAGAATCGCAGCCCCGTACTTTTATTTGCTACCAATAATGTTTTCATGTTCATAGATTGATCATGGGGAAGTGGATATCTGAATATGGTATAAAAAAAAGAAACTACGTACCAAGTAAATTGATCCTAGACCTAATCTGGACCACCTGCAAGTCATCCATGATGACTTTTGGGATTCTCAAGCAAGAGCAAACAAAAGTTGACGACATTGACCCACTCTACCGTGAGGCTCAGTTAAGGCTGAGCAAGGAAAAAAGAAGGAGAAAAGGGGATGATAAGATACCGAGGATTTCCGAGAGCCGATCGCTTGGGGCTGAACGAGGGAATTTGATATGGAAGGTGCTCTTGGCTGGCTGAAAGACAGTGTGTGTGAGCCACTTTCCCTTACAGTATCCAGTACTAGGGGATCTCGGAGTAGCCGACGGTATGTAGCACGGTCGTTGATGATCTGCGTATATATCAATTTTCACGTCTGTTATGTACCATTTTCTTTCTGCCACTCTACCTCATCTCTCTCCTTTCTCTCTTTCTTTCTTCTTTGTCCCCTTAAGGTAAAATTGAGGACCTCTTTTTTTTTTTTTTTTTTTTTTTTTTTTTTTTTTTTTTTCCTTCTCTTTTTCTATTAATTGAACATAATTCCGATAACTCAGAATATTTCCGCTTGCTTGGATAATCCACAGCCGCTCCCAATCAGTGCGTGTTTTCTTCTCCACATGATCTCGGCGATTTGTAGGCTGCATCGTTCTTCGGTCGCTCTTTCGTTCATTCACCATCACAACTTCACGCCCCTCTGCTGTCTTACATCTCACCTCCGGATTCTTGTCGCCGTTTTTTATATCTGAGACTTATCACGACCCCACCAGGAATGTCCTACTATCCCCCTTACTCGGGAGCTCCCGGCTATCCCCCGCAGCAACAATATCAATATTCGCAGCCCAACTACGGCGCCCCTCCTCAGTAAGGCTACTTATTACCTTGCGTGTTTATATTTCAGTTGCTTTCAATATCCACTTGCTTTGAGCTTGCTGGTGTTAACTCGATATAGGCCTATGTACCATCAACAGTCGTCCTACGGCGGCGGTTATCCCGGCCAGGCCTATCGTCAGCAACAACCTAGCAACCCATATGGATATGGCCAACCATCTCCTCAGCCATACGGCTCGCATCACAATGGTTACAACGTATGTTAACTACGATGGCGTTCGGATTTTTTTTTGTTTCTTTCTTTACATATATATGTCCTTTTACCTTATTCGTGTATTTTTCCTTTGCGGTTATAAATTGTTGATATGGTTCTTTAGAACCCGCAGCAGAACTACGGCCCTCCCAGCGGAGGCCATACGTATCAACAACAACCTGGTATGTCTACCCTTACGTGATGCCTTTCTTCAAGATCGCTAGCTAATTATTCTGACTGCGCAATAGCCTACCAGAACTCCTACAATCAAGGCAGCCATGGTACCCCGGCCCGTCCGCCCAACCAACCAGTCTCCTTCGGTCAAGGCGCTCCCCAAGAATACGCCTACCGATACTCAGATTGCTCCGGCACGAGAAAGGCTTTGCTGATTGGTATCAATTACTTCAACCAGAAGGGTCAGCTGCGCGGATGTATCAATGATGTCAAGAACATGTCGACGTACTTGAACAAGAACTTTAACTACCCTCTTGAAAATATGGTGCTTCTGACGGACGACCAACAAAACCCAAAGAGTCAGCCAACCAAGGCCAATATTTTGCGGGCCATGCATTGGCTAGTCAAAGACGCTAAGCCCAACGATTCCCTCTTTTTCCATTATTCTGGTAAGTCTGTAATGAATCTTTTGCTTTTCAGCCCGCAGTCTGACCGGCAATAGGCCATGGTGGTCAGACACCCGATCTGGATGGCGATGAAGACGATGGATACGACGAAGTCATTTACCCCGTTGATTTCCGGCAAGCGGGCCATATTGTCGACGATGAGATGCACCGGATAATGGTCAACCCCTTGCAGCCGGGTGTCAGATTGACAGCCATCTTCGACTCGTGCCACTCGGGCTCCGCGTTGGATTTACCGTATATCTACTCGACATCAGGTGTCCTCAAGGAGCCCAACCTGGCCAAGGAAGCAGGACAGGGTCTGCTGGGAGTGGTGTCGGCGTACGCACGGGGCGATATGGGCAGCATGGTCTCGACAGCAGTCGGTTTCCTCAAGAAGGCAGCCAAGGGCGACGAGGTGTACGAGCGCAACAAGCAGACCAAGACGAGCGGGGCAGACGTCATCATGTGGTCCGGCAGCAAGGACGATCAGACCAGTTCCGATGCCCAGATTCAGGGACAAGCAACCGGTGCGATGTCATGGGCATTCATCACCGCCCTCCGCAAGAACCCTCAACAGAGCTATGTGCAGCTGCTAAACAGCATTCGGGACGAACTGTCGACCAAGTATACACAGAAGCCGCAGCTCAGCAGCAGTCACCCAGTGGGTAAGTTGAATAGATCCGATCTAACGTAATCACATTCTGACCGGCCATAGATGTGAACCTGCTTTATGTGATGTAAGGATTTGGGCTTATGGATGGTTCTTTAGGCACGGACTTGGCATCGGGATAGTATTGACATTTTACGCGGAAATGCTTTTCTCTTTCAACTTTCTGTTCCTGCTCAATTTTCAAAACTTTCATTGCTTTCTTCCCGAGTGCCTTGCTTGTTTCCTATAATTTTCTTGACAACATTCATTTGCATGGAGTCGGACAGGACACGGGCTTAGTTGGGTCGCATATCTTACATGCTTCTAATTCATTCATACGAAACAAATCTGCATTTGAAAATCATATACAGTGACGCTCGACTAAGTTAAATCTAAACCATTGCAGCACCCCAACAACCTTAATATAACTTGGCCTTGTTCGGGCAGATGAGATGCCGCTAGCGTCATGTGTGTTTTTATTAGTGTCCTCGTTACGTCGTTCCGGCTTTGCCTCGTCCTGTTTACTACTAGAAATTGATCTTCTAAAGTCAGGCTACAAAGTGGATGCAATGCCCTGATGATTTAAAAGAGAAAAATCTCAGCAGGGCCTGATTTCCTTCAGAACAAATACACAGAGTCCCACGACGTGGCATGCTATCAGGCAGTATCAACGCTCAAGTTGCTCACAGTGTCTCCCGGCTGTTGGTCCTCGGACAGAGGCACAAGGGTGTGAGACATGAAAGTCATATATTGCATAGCTACAGCTCGTTGGTTGATCCGTTGGGTACTAACGAACTAGCATCACGAACAGTGAGTGATTCACAAAAGGGTGGACCGTAGAAGAGCTTATGGTTCCACCGGACGTCGTATTCTAGACAGAGATTGGAGGAATCTAGGAACTTGGGAAAGCATGGAACATGCGATCTCTTTTTATACTTACATTTCCTCCGGCATATTCACTGGGATGGATGACCTTGGCGGCGTTATCGTCGCCCAAGGAGTGCCATGGGTGTCAACGAGACGAACGCTGGGGCTTGAGAATCGTGCATAATTCTTACTAGGGATTTCGGTATTAATATGTCGTTACTCCATGGAGAGATACATATGGCTTTTGTCAAGCTTCAAGAGGAGAAATATGAGGATCTCCGATGGCTGCAATATTTTTGCTTGGGTTTCTGATGGCGAAAGCTATGGCAGCCTTCTAGCAACCTCCTGCATATGTTTAAGTGGTCGATAGGAATGATTTATAAGTCAGAGTACAACTCTTCAAGTATCATAAAGGCCTCCTGTGTTATAAACAATATAAACATTAAAGACATCCATTTGAAGTTCCCGTTTCTTGGAATGGGCAGTCGATGCTTAGGGCTTGCTATCCCTGCATCAATCTTGATGAGGAAACAAGGCGGATAGACATATATTTCAGAGATATGTCTCTCATGATGGAGCACTTCGAAAGCATATGGTGCGAAGTATTGGAACTACTTGACCCACAATAGTTTCGACCATCTCAGCAACAAAGATGCGTTCAACAGCGGCATCTTGCTAATACAAGGCCGCGAAAGGTACAATAAATGCACAAAAGACAATGTATATCGACGGAAAATGATACTTTCGAATTAGTTTACCGTTGCATGTCAGGTGCTTACCTGGCTGACGTACTGCAACTTTCGCAAAAGCCAAGAGTCAGGACAACTGGAGCTGAATCTTAGGAGAGATGTATATGTCAGCTATAACTGCTACGGTATATGGGCACATCTGTTTCAACTAAAAGACGAGGGGAATACTAATAGCTGACACTACCCACTGTCATACGCAGTGTGAGAGGTGTATATCACTTATCATCATAAAACGGGCTAACTTGTTGTGTATTAGTTGAGATTACATAAGGAGCAGCCATCAGCAATGGCCTCAGGTATATAGGCAACATTCTTTACAGACTGCTCTGTACACTCCCTGCATTTTCGGTGAGGCATTTGAGGGGTCCTGGAAACATACTTAATCTATCTACAGAGAACTCGTGATTTGAAATTGCTATTAGAGAACCTGGCCTACGTTGTTTCTTTTGGACCATGGTGCCTGGACCAGGAGCATAGCAGCATGAATAAACAATGAAGGGATGCATCGCTTTATCCCACAACTACTGTATCTAGCAAATCGGATGAACCTGCCATCTCGTGCAGCTTCTATTAGCTGATGCAATTGGCCATGCTTCCTCACCGAGTAGATCGGCGGACTGGTCAGGTGTACTCAGAGAGGACCTCAACCCGGGCAGGGGCTTACTCCAGAGGTCCGTCTTGGGTCCATGAGACGCCCTTTCTTCCTAGAGGCTGGGAGGAAACAAATGCAATTGGAGCACCCACACTGAAGCACTCAGCAATGAGGCAAGTTCTATCAGATCAAAGGAATCTGACTCCACAATTGTTTGCGAATATACCATGGCCGATTGCCAGTTATCTGTGGGACTGCCTTGGGAGAAGGTAAGCCACCATGTCGCGTTTGGAAATCGAAATTTACATTCATGCTAAATCACCGGGTAAACACAGCCGCAAACGAACACTCTACATGTGGAAACTGTTGGCAACCGCGTACCCGGTCGAATTCCGGCAAACCTCCCAGTACCGGTCAATGAAGATCGAAGGGCCCAGACTGGCTATGCGAGACTATCTGGAGCTGGTGAAGAGCGATTCCCTGAAATGGCAGTTGGTGCTAAATTTGGCTACTTCGTTCGCCAGAGTCCCTGAGCTAGTGGGCATATCTAAGATAAGGAACCTTGCTGCGTTGGAAGTTGCCACACCTCCACACGATGAAACCCCTGAATACGATACTGAGACTCCCGTGACGGCACTAAGTGATCGTATCATCCGAAGTTGGAGTGAACTCGTACACACCTCGGGTGCATTCGCACACCTTCGAGTTCTCAAATTATGTCATCAGGACCTGTCGGGTGTTGTATTGCGTTATCTGCGCACGTTTCCATCCTTGCAAGTCATTGTTGCGTATGGCTGTCCAGGTATCCACTCTATGTTCATGGATGGCTTGGAGATAGACGGATGGGAGTCTCGACCGGGTCAAGAAGATAAGCCACCGGCACTCTACGAATTATATCAAACTAGCTTTGCCAATATGGACGGAGAACCACCTGCTTTGGGTCAGGGGGGTCCGATTCTGGATTTCCAGATAGGCCAGACTATTCAAGAATCCAAGAGAGAGTCCACAAATGCAAAAACTCTATATTTACATCGCACGAAGGCGGCAAATCGGATACCCACCGAGAACTCGGCACTACATAAACCGACGAAGAGGCCTAGGGAAGAGGTCTCGGCCTCCGGTGAACGTCAGAGGCGGTCGGGGCCGAAGAGGGCTGTGATGAGAGACCGCAAAGCCAAGGACCTCGGAGAAATCTTGGGGAATTTCCTGTAAGCGAGCGACCTGCAGGAGTGTGGGAGGCCAGAAGTGGGCTTATATGCAAACGTCACTGCAGAAGGGATTGGCACGGGTCACAATGATTGGCCATTGATCCTTGAGGGCATAATTCTACGTAAAAGAAAATCGAAGTACGATGGTAACGAACCATGGGGTTAGAAGCATCAAGTCCAGTAAGTTAGTAACAGAGGCATTGTTCGTATGATGGATTTTAGTATGACGCCATGGCCACCTGACGCTGATTGGCCACCGCCGCCCGCCAACCAAACATCATCAATTCCCCGCAACCCCGTGATTGGCATCGATCATGCTCTCGCAACAGGCGATAGCTGTGCAGATAACCTGATCAGTAGCTTCTATTCTATATATGTGGATTTTATGTGAATCTACCGCATTTCACGCTAGTGAACTCACACAATATCCAACCCAAACTTCTCGTTCAACACGGTCAGCGTCTCAGGGGAAACTCCCGGAACGCCATCGCCCGGTTCAACCATGACGGACCACCAGCCAGGTGAACCGGTTGCAGACAATTCCAGTGGATCGAACGTTGCATCTCCTCGATCCAGCACGGATTCTCGGTCTCCATCTACGCACAGCCAGTCTCTACGACTCTCGCACGTCTCTCCCAACCATCAGCACCGTCACAGCCTCAGTGAAAGTCTGCGCGGGGCTCCAAATTCCCCACGTAGCCGTCGGCAGCCGTCACTCACACAGGCTGCAATCCAGAGTCTGATCGACAACCCACCGGCTCCCAACCATGTAAACCCTGCCTTCGTAGGTCGCGACTGGAGGGGAATTTCGATCGGAGAGCTGGTTAGCCCGAACGATTTGAGGTTTGTGGAGATTGATACGGGCATTGAGGATGCGACTAATGTGAGTTGCGATGCATGAGCGAGAGTAAAGAAGTGAGATCGAGGTTTGACAACTATTAGGTCTTGATTGATTCCGATGCTCCTGTACTTCTGATTCGCGAGACTCCTGAACACAAGACTGCTGTCGGCACTTTCGATTACTCGGATCTAAATGCGTACCTTCTCCTCGCCGCGGGTCTGACACAACCCGATGAGCATACTCGTGCTTCTTATGATGAACTGGCCCGAAAGGCCAAGGAAGGAATCAAGATACCATTGAAAGATGTAAAGGACCTCGGCAGGAAAGAACCATTGACGACGCTTCCGGCGTCAGCCAGCGTGATGACGGCTGTAGAGACATTTGGAGGAGGCGTTCATCGGGTGGTTGTGGTCGACGAGCGTAGGCAAAATGAGGTAGTGGGCATTTTCAGCCAATTCAGACTGGTCAAGTTTCTGTGGGAAAATGGCCGCAGCTTTCCTGTGATTGATCAGCTGTATCCGCAGGCGCTGCGGGATTTGAAAATAGGATCTCTGGAGGTGATCTCCATCAAGTAGGTCTACTTCTCGATATACAGTTAGCCAGTCTAACGTGTGTATAGCGGAGACAAGCCTCTATCGGAGGCATTGCATCTCATGAACAATGAGGGCATCACGTCGGTCGCTGTGGTGGATAACCATACCAACGTGGTGGGCAATATATCCCTCACGGACGTTAAGGTATGAAATAGCCCTGGCTGGCGAAGAGACGGTAGGGCTAACCGAACGAACAGCTCCTGACGCGCTCATCGTCCCTTCCACTCCTCCACAATACATGTACTCATTTCATCTCCGTGATTCTGTCGACACGGGGTCTAGTGGATGGCAAGGATTCATTCCCAGTGTTTCATGTGAACCCCGGATCGACGTTGGCTCATACCGTTGCCAAGGTAGTAGCCACTAGATCCCACCGGTGAGTCTGCTGCATGACCCCTACGAAGCTAGCTCTTGTTAATTGACTGAGATAGACTATGGATCACCGATCCGTTGTCTCCTTCCTCGTCGGGACCACCGACTCCATCCCACTCGGCCGTGCATCTCCCTCTGCCTACTAACTCAGGGAACACGCATTCACCTCCGTCACCTACTCACGCGCCGTCCATCCCAGCTTCCGCTCTCCCGGGGGCACGGCTTTCTGGACGATTGGTTGGGGTGGTCAGCCTCACAGATATATTGAACCTGCACGCGCGGGCCAGCGGGCTAAGCCCGGCCGACCCCGCGGAAAGCCGTAGCCGGCGGCGACGCAGCAGCAGTTCGAGCCTCAGCGTGCGACGCAGTGGGGAGATAGGGCGAGAGTTATTCAGTCGGTAGCGCTGGATCGGTCGATTAGGACGAGGATCAAGGCACATCGACAACCACATTCGTTCTTTGGAAGACACTTACTAAATCCCTCTTCGATTTCCCGAAATGAATTACAGGCGTACATACGGAGTAGGGCTAGTGCATTGAGTTAGAAGAAACTCCAAATTCAAGAAATCCATACCTACAAACACACACATTCAGCGACCCACAATGCAATCCACAATATGAACCCTTAACGACTCAATGTCCGACTCTACCCATCCCAACCTGACTCAACCATGAACAGAATGATCGGCAAGAATCGGCCTGCCCGAAAGGGTCCCAAACGTCAAGCATGTTCCCTCCACCCCAATCAGATCCCGGAGTCCATCAGATACCATGGATCCAAGATCTGAAAACCCCCACCCACCGATCCCCCAAACAGCAACCTCAGTCTCCATTAGCACCCTGACCACCAGTATATCACAGCACGGCCTCACCAACTCAATTCCCAAAAGTCCCAGCTTACCCCCAACCAATCCAACAGCCAAAAATGAATGCCGAGATAACTCCACTCTGAAACCTAATCTCACCTGGCGACCGTGCTCCTCCACCCCAGCTTGGGGACCGAACTTTGCAATAAGAGAGATGTGAGTGGTCTGGGGAAGTGGCAAAGTGTGCTCGAGCCATGGGCTGGCGATTCGCGATGTGTTTCTGTTTCGGGCTAATGTTACTGTGGGGGGTAGGAGGGGCATGTGTACCGAAGTTATGAAGTATTAGTTCTATTTTGAAAGGACTCTTTTTTTTTTTTCTTTCCCTCTCCTCTTGAAACCTACCCCTCTATCATTCTCGGGTTTTTTTGGTTTTGAGATAGGGATCGCAATGATGCTGCTCGTGTTGGTCTGCGGGGTTATCAGTCCATTGCCCTCGGAAATTGGGGTAAGAAACGATAGTTCATTATTCCGCATAGTATATCCAATTGGAGATTAAATTCTTCAAATTAGTTCTTGCCTGGACTAGCCTAGCCTCCTACTATTAGTACAACTACTACTCTGTAGACAGCAAAGATCGACCTCTTTAACTTGAAACAAACTACTACACGACAGAAACCAAATCCCAAGCAAACGCCGACGAAAACACGCAGTAGAAACAGGGCAAGCTCCTAGTATCACCCCCGCAGACAACCAAAGTAGTGCATATAGCAGTATGTATGTACAGTACCAAGGAAACAAAAGTACCTCCAATAAACACAGCGTCCTATTCCATCCAAACCTCACCACACCCCCAATCTCCAACCCCACAGACAAATACATCCAACCTTTTACTACGGAGAAATAACCCTCCAACTCCTTCCCCCCTCTGTGGACGCATCCTGGCCCGGACCGTAATGTCTAGATGAGGTCTTTTTTTGTTCAGCTTGGGTTTGGGTTAGGTTGAAGGGCTATTTTCTAGCTGTGATCCTTGGATGGAGTGGTGGTGGTTATGGATGAGATGGAGCAGTAGCTTAGCTTAGCTACTACCTACCCTAGCTATCTATCTGTTTATTGCCTAGTACATACCTACCTACTTACCTACCGGTAGGTAGTTTCATAATTTGGAATTGAGGGACTTGGATAGCGACATACTCCAGTCTCTACCAGAGAGGTAAGTGGGCACGCGAACGTGAAGGAGAGTATATTACATAGTGGAAGTAACTAGTCGTAGGGGAAAGTATGTGGAGATGCAAGTGCAGGGAATACTGTTGCTTAACGTTACTATGAGGTACTTCCATCCTACCTACTTACCTACTGACCCAGTCATTAGTGGAGTTGATGGGGGTAAGGGTATATGATTAACCTTAGCTTTTTTAGGAGATTACCGTGGAGACCAAAGAAAGTAAGTAAAGGGAGAAAAAGTATGGAAGAGTACCGTCGATCCCAACCAGATACATAAATGCCGGTAGGAGTGGATAAGAGAGCTTTCTGACTTCTTTGAGTATACTTTATAGAATTCAGAGTTAACCCCAGGATCAAATACTTCGTCGCGAGCTAGCCAATAAGCGTCAGCCAAAGCTATCTAGTAGGAAAAACGGACATGTATATCCAATCCAATATTCACGGAGGATCGCGGCAACTTAGTTAATCCCCAATTAGAACCGCAAATCCCAATCCCAATCCCAATCTAAATGCAATCTAATTTATTAACGGAGAACAGAGCAGTCCTTCCTCCGTTTACTCCGTCTATTAAGTTATGTAAGTATGTATGCATGTACGGATACGACTAACAAAAGTGCACCTCTGAACCCAGGTGACAATTAACAATTGAATAGCAACCTATCATCAAAACTGCAACAACGGAGTTAAAACCCAAACCCCCGCCATTTCCTACTACAATTAGCCAGCCACAACATAACGTTAAAAAAATAAAAATAAGAAAAAAACCCGATCTAGGCCAATTACTAACCCCTTACCAACATCTCCCCCCTCTTCCCCCAAACAACGGGAACCCAATGAGCAAGCAGCGGCGTCGTACGAACAAACTTTCCCACTCAGTGGGGACCTAGGCCACTATTCCCGAAACAGGAATTCCCCCCCCTCCAACCTGGGAAGTGGGGGGATTAGAAAGTGGACTGTGAACGAGGGTCCAAAGTTGAGCTAAACCTATTCCGGGAGAGAACGAGAGGAGGACCCACAGGAGCTTTTCTTTTTTTTTTTTTTTCTTTTTTCTTTTTTTGCGAGTGGTCTGTGCGTAGGGTGAGGGTTCCGATCGGTTGGGATTGTTCTTCTTCCTCTTCGTTTTTCTTAGTTATGGAGTACTAGTGCTGGGTTAGTGTTGGTTAGTTGTGTTTCAGACCTTTTTAGTTTCTATCTACTCTGTATAGGTCAAGATGAGGGGGATGTTAGCGTGCGGGAATGGTTAATCTCGATCATTGACTTGGCTTGCATATTACTATTTACTTCGGTTTTAATTTTGGCTAACTTACCTACGGAGTACCTAAGTACCCTGTACTCCGTAAAGGTTATGAATGGAGAACTAACTTGACTACTGATAGGAACTACGGTAAGACGAATATTAATAGACCTAAGGGTAAAAATGGAGTCTTTTATTTTTTTTTTTTTTTCTTCCTCTTTCACCCTTTTGTCTCTGAAGAGCAGCAGCAAACCGTGAAAAGAAATCTCAAAACCTTGCTGGAAATCTGGCTGTTTTCGGTATATACCTCTCTGATCTAGGCTTTTGGCTAGTGGAATGCCACAGGCATGTGGTTACACATCCCCTCTGAAGGAAAGAAATTCTCGTCCAAAGTTAGGTTAATTTGCTTGATCGGTGACAGTTAATGAGACATTCCTGGCCCCGGTGTGCTGGCTTGACTGTTTGCGGCGTTTTCTTGGCGAGGAGTGGAGCTGGCTGTAACCTTGTTGTTCCTGTTTCTGTTTCTTAGCTGTTTATTTTTATTTTATTTTGAATTCTTCGATTGGGGACTTTTTTTTCTTTTTCTTGGGTTTTTTCACTTTTGTGGAGATGTTTCAAAAGTATAGGGAAAAAGCTTAGAAGGGTTCAGATGTTTTGAATGAAGTTTTTCATTTCTCATTATTGTACATGCCCATTGGAACGCCATTCATCCCGGGGTATTGCCCTGACTGGTCCAGCGCAACTTCAACTATTAGACACAAAAAAAAAAAACAAAGCTGTAGATGAGTAAAAATAATTAAAAGCAAGAAAAAAAAAAAGGATGAAAGGCCCCCAAAAGCTACCAGTGTAGTAATGCAAGGATCATCATCGAAGCAAGACAAGGAAAATGAAAATATAAGAGTTTAAAAAAAAAAAAACCGCAGCTAGCTAAAAGACAAGACATGCGGATGCGAGGATCATGCACCGACGAGCCAGTCGTCCATTTGGACCACCTCGTCCGGCTTCCATTCGGTTTCCGGATGGTGCAGGGTGTTGTCGAACGAGGGGATGGTTGGGTGACTACCCAAGGAGAAAGAGAGGCCCTGGAAGTCGACGAAGTCCTGGTCCAGGAACGGCTGCGAGAAGGAGACGCAGTCTGATTCCTTGGTGTCCAGGGTGTCGAAGGCAACGTCACTGTGTTTGGCAGTGGAGGTGGGCGAGTGGGGCGTGCTGGGGGTGGGGCAGAGATCGGGAGTCGGTAGGGTCGTTGGCAAGGTTTCACTGGGAAGACCGTCGATGCGAGTCTCCACCCTCGGCGTGTTCTCGACGGAGGGAGTGTGAGACGGCATCCGTTGGAAAGGCGTTTGCCCTGGTTCGGAGCGGTTGCGACTGTGTTGAGGGGTGGGAGTCGGTCGGTATGCGGCACTGGAAGGGATCGCGTGCACGGGAATAACCGGTGCAGAACCCAGACGGTCTCGGAATTGGCGCACAGGCATGTTCATGTCCCCAGGGTTAAACCCAGCCCAAGGCGATCGAACGTGCTGCGGGCCGATGTGTGCGGGCCATGTGGGGGTCGAATGATGAGCAATGTAGGATGGCATTGGACCCGACGAGGCGGGCACCACGTTAGGATGGAATGAGGAGGGGGAATGTGAGTTTCCTTCGTACGAAGGCGACATCACGTAGCTTTGGTTGCCGGTCATGGCCATAGGACTGGTGATCGGACTCCCACGCATGCCCTCGGAGAAGGAGCTGCGAATGCTCGACAGGTCCAAGCTCATTTTGCGGACCCCGTCCATGGGGCCGCGCTGCGCCATCATGGAGGCACGACGATGCTGCAGGCCGGGTCGCATGGCCAACGTAGCGAGGAGGTTTTGCTGGAATTGGTTGTTGATTTGCATGTTCTGAGCTTCCAGCATGCGTTGTAGTTTCTCCTTGTAGCGGTCATCTACTTCTTCGTACATGGCCTCTTTTTCGACAATTTCCCGGGTAATCAGGAGAGCTTTGCCAGTCCGTTGCTTGTGCAGCTGAGACGCACGGTTGGCAGATTCTAGACGGGCATCGAGGCTCCGATCTTTCCGCCGAGAGGCAGCAATGAATGCTCTGGTCCCATTAGCCGAGTCCCTCTTGGGAGGAAGAGGGAAAGAGACCTACCGTTCTTGGTTTTCCTCACGAGTACGAGGGTTTGGTGAGATCTCAAACTCAACGGGAGAAGCCATTGCGGCGATAAGTCTGGAATGGCCGGGCTATTGAAAGGTGGATCGAGAAGGGAGTCATATACATATACGTATAGGTACACGGGGATTCCGAAACGAAAAGAAAAAAGAAAAGGCAGGTACGATGATATAAGTATAAACAGGACTATCTCATTTGGCAACGAGGCGGGGGGCAACGAGGGAGGAAGTAATCTGAGGAAGTAGTATTTTAAATATGTAGTAGTGGATGAGGGGGCTTTTGGTCGTCCACAAAAATCCCCCTATTAACTTTTGCAGTGCAGCTGTCAAGTATCCATTAGCACCCAGAGGGGGCCTAGGCGAGCCACTCACTTGGAGCAAGTTCAACTTCGGATCCTCGACCTAGGGCCGGTCAAAGTCTGGCTGCCGGCCGTTCCGTGGATCCTATTCCGTGCAAAGTTCTCGCACTGTTGGCGCTGCGTACTCAGTAGTAGAAGGCTTAACCTTGGGTCGGTTCCGCTCGAGAAGAGGAGGTCTTTTGGGAATTTCAGAAAGTGAAGAGAAAAGTACAAAACAAACTCGAAGCGAAGCGGGCATTTACGCAGTACCGGAACCATTTTCCAGGATAGGAGGCAAATTACATTACACTAGCAATATGGGCTGTTTTTGTGATTGTTTTTTTCTTTTTCTTTTTCTCTTCCTTTTTCTTTTTTTTTTAATTTCAAATTTACTTCCCCACGATAAGGAAAAAGACGCTAAAGTAACACTATAGTGAGAAGTTCGAAACATGTTCAAAGTCTAGACCAAATGGGGAGGTTCGCCCTACATGAGAGTCCCTCAGTCGATCTTCTACCAATGTTATGGAGCATCTCCAGTCTCAAATTCCACCAGATTTGGCAGTTAACCCCTGCAGTAGTAGGCACAAATTGTCCGACACAACAACGGTCGCCAGTTTCATCCCAGTAAACTGGGGAAAAGCAAAGTATGAGCCAAGAAAGTATGCGCCTCCCCCAGATTGACTTTGTTTTCCACCACGGCCTGTTGGTCAACGGCTGTAAAGAAAAAAAAAAATTTCCGCCCGGGGTTTGCCTGCCCTAAGGACTGGGGATGGGACGTCCATTGGTAGAGTGTAACCAGAGACCAAGTTTCTATCAGTAAACTTTGTGAAGTTGGATGGGCAAGAAGGCGCTGTGATTGATCGCACGGACCATCTGTCCCCGAGCCAGATGGCGAAGTTGTCCTGAGTTACTTAGCCTAACAATTTTACTTCGGGGCCTCTCGGTGATCTCCCTCTCCCCACTCTCACGATGGGGGAAAAGGTCCCAGGATCCCCATGTGACTGGGTCCGGGTCTCTCAGAGGCCAGATTGGGCAATTTCATGTTGAACCCATCTCGATCGGCGGGGGAGGGTTTACGGGGGGACATGACAAATTAGAGATGCTGACGAGATGCCGCTAAGATACTGCTAATCGGTCAGCGATCCGATTCAATCAACGAACAAGAGGATGACGAATCCCTTACAGCATCGCACTAAAAGGATTTCATAGCCTCACTATTGCTTATCAGAGGATTTTTTCTGTCACTGATTCTGACCCTTGAGTTGAGGCGGGAAGGCAGTCACGTTGCACTCTTAGTTAATGTTTGAATTAGGGCTAGCCTGCTGCATGAAAGCCGCGTGCACCTGCAGGAACCCTAACAAACAGTCATTCCAGGTTTCAGCACGGAGTACCGTAGGAATGGAAGGCAAGAAAATTGTCACCTTCTTCCGTTGGTCCTCGGTTATTACCTACCTACAGGTCAAGGTACGAGATGCAAACCACAGGTACCCCCTCAATAAATCCCACTACCATGGCTGTGCGACCGGATGATCTTCCACAATATTCTCTTGGCGACCTTTTGAGCCTGTCCAGAGGAGAAAGAAAACCTAGAGTCAGTTGGGACTATGGTTCCTCGCTATGACCGCTCATCGCACCCCAAAGAGGAAATTCCTAGTCGACTACTCAGGGTCGGGGAGACTCCCGACAGATGGGTCGAGCCCACCTTTTGCCATCTTCCAGCGTCAATAGTTAAGCAGAGAATCAGATCATATCATTCACACATAATTACTTTTTATGAGGGGGAAAGGATTATCGTTACTTAACTCGGTTAGTATTCGGCCGGACGCCACACGGATGACGCCACTCCGCCGATTGTACGACTTGTGTTACTGTATATGGACAGCACTTACTCGACCCCGTACAAGCAAGAGACTGGAAATGATGGTGTATTAAAGAAAGAAGGTACAAATACAAAAAAAAAAAAAAAAAAAAAAAAAAAGAAAAAAAAAAAAAAAAAAAAAAAAAAAAAAAAAAAGGTACCCTAAGTCTATCTATATGGGTGAGGGGCTTTTTTTATCTCAGGCTACTCAACCACAGGTAGACGGCGTCGCGTGCCTTGCACATCCTACAATGTCCTCCACGTTGAACTCTGGATGGAGGAGAACCAAGGGAGAAAATGCATGTACCTTTCAAGATAAAATAAAATAAAAGTAAAATAAATCAAAGATATACTGTAGAGAGTATGAGTCCATCCCCCCTGACCCAAGGCGACTTTTTCCCAAACAGGCATCAGATATCAACTCACGGATCAGTTGCTTTTTCTACTCAAATAACGCTGCAAGAGGACCCAATCAATCTCACAAACTTAATTCACCAAATATCGCTCATCAAAATGGCATCAGAAAGTTGGTCAGGTATAGACAAGAATGTAGGCTGGAGAACTGAACAACACGGACAGAACTAAGGAGAAACGAACCAAGTTCGCCCTCACCTCTCGAATGTATTCTCTCTCTAAGCAATTCCCAACGAAGGCACCATTCCCTGTTCCTCCTTTTGTTCGTTGCCCACCCGGTACGAAACCTTGAACCGCATCTTAATCGAATTACCCTTGCCCGATTCCACGCCACTCACCAACATTTCCTGCTGGACTCCGTTCACCTGGAGAGGTGCAATATCTCGCCCTGATTGGGGCCGAAGCTGCAAATTGTATGCCTGTTCTTGCATTAGCCCCTGAACTTTGAACTTTATACATTCACCGCGATAACTAACCTTCTCCACAGCAACTTGGAAATGCAACTCGCTTAGTGGCTGGTTGGTGCCATTGGAAAACAAGGCCACCATGTGAATCTGCCGGGCCTGCTGGGGTTGCCGCCGCGCCACGAATTCCACCCGCAACGACGAGTTCAACACCTGCACACGATTCGTGGTTGGGAGAGTGTTACTTTCTGGGAGAGAGGACGTGAAATCCCACTCGTCCTCCTCGGCCGCTTTCGTGTTGCCAGCTGGGGGCTGCGACGAACTGGCTCCTGCCAGATCGAGGAGGGAAGGCCCAGCTGATGCGGGCTGTTGACTGGAGACTCCCGAAGGGAACGGACTTGGGTGTCGGGAGCTGGCAGATACCAGCGAGGCGAAAGGGTCGGACGGAGGTGGAGTAGCTGTGGTGCTCTGTGGCCGCATCGCTGCGGGTGCAGGCGAAGATGATTGAGATGCAGGGCGGGATGAATTCAACGAAGATAGGATATCATAATTGGGTTTGAATGCCGAAGGGGCCTGCTGTACGGGAGGTGTAGAAGAAGGTATTGGGGTCACTAAATTCAGTCAGCAACAGGTCTAGGCTCCCTGGAAAACACTACCCACCAGGTCCAGGTCCAGGTCCTAGGGAGATGCCTCCAGTGGGGGCTGGTTCGTCTATTGAGAGGCCAAGTAGATCATTCTCGAGAGAACTGCCGCCCGCCGGTTGCGAGGCATTGCCGTTTGAGCTCGGCTCTGGATCGAAATCGATGAGGGACAATTCATTGTTCGCGTTTTTCGAAACACCGGTCGTTGTTCCTAGAGTGCCCTTTGGAATCTTCGATGCAGCCTCCAAATCGCCCTTCTTGACAAGTTTGTACCGTTCAATGGTGCGGTGTATGCTGTCGTTGATTTCCAACAATTTGTGAACAGCCTCTGGATCGTCGGACTCCTCCTCGCACATTTTCTGAATCTTAGGGTGGGCACTTTGTAAAGCATTGGCAAGCTCCTAAGCGGTCGACGGTTAGCGGCAGCCTCCACACAGCCAGTGATGAACCTACCTCGAACACATCACCTTCTGCAATTCGTTCTCCTGGCTGCTGGCTCTGTAACATCTCCTCCAGGATCTTGGCCTTCTGTTGCACTTTAGCGACCTCCTCTGCCGCCTTAGCCCGGTAGTCGGTTTTGTGTCGATTGTCATATCCGGCCATCACCTTCATCAATCGGTTCGCTTCTTGTAAATCTGCCGGTGTGCCTCGACGAATTAATTCCTGGAGCTTCGCCGACTGAGCCTCTCTCTCTTCTTCCTCCATCTCCTCAGCGGAGCGAAGATTCTGGGAATGTCAGCTAGCTATCCTAAAACTAAGCCCGAAAGAAGGACATACGTCACTGGGATTCAGAACTGCAGCATCCTCGTTTCGAATTTCAGGGAAGACGTAGCCCTTATAGAGCAGAAGGCGGTGCATGTCCCGAATATGTCCCAAATCCTCCTTGTATCTCGACGTCTGACAGATAGTCTGCCTCCATTCCTCAATCGACTCCAGAATACGATGTTGAACTCTCGAGGGGCGCAACGCCGGCCTCTCGGGAAACCGTCGGACGAGCTCATTCAGAAACTCCTTGGTGCTGATTTGAAGGTGGAAAGGGTATCCGCAATTCTTAACACAGATGTCAAGGAGCTATACTAGGTCAGCCCCGCACTAGCTTCTCCCAAGATCGGTAAACCTACAGCCAACGCCAGTAAGGAGACATTTTGGTTCCGGGAGTTGATTAGACGGACAATCTCCAGTGCTGCTTCACGGGGACTGTAGAACGTAAGAATGCGCCATCCTACTGGATCGACTGCGACTCACGCATTGCCTTTCTTGGAGTTGATCAAGTCCGCGACTTCGAGGTTCAGGGCAAGATTGGGTTCGTAGTGAGAGATATCGCAAGCATGACCTAGTGGATACGCACAAGATGAGTTAGAATATATTCTTGCTACTAAAGCAGTTGGGGGTTTGGTAACATACGAATAGCTCGTTGCAGCGGAGTTAGGCCTAGGTCAGCGTAGGCACCAAAGCGGTCCCTAGCTGCCATTCGTGCTGATGCGGCTTCCAGGGTGGTGACGGAAAAGGTGACGGACGAGAATTAGAGCCCCTATGGACAATGTCCGACCGGGGCGCAGGGGCAGGGACAAAGGAAAGAAGGCGAAGTGATAGGGAAAGAAAGATAGTTGCTGGCCAAAGCAAGTTGCGGGCCCGGCGTCACATAAACTCTAGTTGGGTTGAGCTCCACGTGTTGGCGCTTCCGTCACCGTCGTTGCCCCGTCTGGTCCTTCGATGAGCATGAACTACTCATAAAAATATACTAGTCCTCAGGAACCATTTCACCACTCCCTCAACCTCTGCATAACAGCTCTTGTTTTCTGAACTCTAGGGATTAGGAATACCGGATTTGTTATTTTAGCCTGCCTTACATCATGGTCCGACACAAGAAAGACAATTACTCCCGCGGAGGCAAGAAATTTTCCTCGACACCCCGCCCACGCCCAGTGCCCCGCGGCGATGGCGAGTCCTCCGACAGACTTCCTTTCAAAGCAGCCTGTTGGGATCTGGGCCACTGCGATCCGAAGCGATGCTCGGGCAAGCGATTAATGCATCTGGGATTGATGCGAGAGCTAGGTATTGGACAAAAGTATCCAGGTGTCGTCGTTTCGTACGTAACCTTTTTTGTATCCTCTTAGTGTCATCAAATATCGCATCTGTTTGCTTGCTACTATTAGTAGATTAACAAGGTGACTACAGTCCGAATGCGAAGAAAATCATCTCCCCCGCGGACCGAGACATACTAGAACAATATGGCGCCGCAGTAGTGGAATGCTCGTGGGTAAGGCTGAAGGAAGTGCCTTTCTCTCGCATAGGAGGAAAATGTGAACGACTTCGTATGCTTCTCTTCAAAGCTGCTCTAATAGGCTTCATTGATTTACATACTGATAAACCCAGTACCCTATCTCGTTGCAGCAAACACAGTCAACTACGGACGGCCATGGCGGTTAAACTGTGTCGAAGCCCTGGCGGCCTGTTTCTGTATTTGCGGCCACGAAGACTGGGCTAGAGAGGTTCTCAAACATTTCAGTTACGGCGAGGCTTTCCTCGATATCAACTCGAAACTCCTTAAGCGATATGCCGCATGCGCCACAGAAGAAGACGTTAAACGGACCGAGGAAGAATGGCTGGCTAAGATTGAGAAAGAATACGAAGACAGTCGTGTCGAAGGTGCCGATGATATGTGGACAGTGGGAAATACGAACCGGAGGGCAGACGATTCTGATTCCGATGATGATAAGGACAGTGAAGATGGTGAAGATGGTGACCAAGATAAAGAAAAGAATGATGAAGAGGAAGAGCCGGAAGAAGAAAAAGACCCTTTCGCCATCTCAGATGACTCCGAAGAAGAAGAGCAGATGGCCGAAATCCGCCGCAAAATTCTCAACTCCAAGTCTTTCCAGAATCCTACTGTTCCCGACAAGCCACAACCTGAGAAGATCACACGTCCAGATACAGGGCCTGTTGAAGACTCCGACGCCGAGTCCGGGTCGGCGGATGGGAGTGACGACGAAGCGTTTGACAATATCATTGATGCGACGCCGGTGACGGATCGGACAGGTATCATTGCTGCTACCCGGAAAAAGGGGAACGACACCCTCAGTGCGTCATTTTCTCGAACGGTGATTAGTGCTCCTAAGAGGTGGTAGTTTTCTTGTCCAATCTTATCTTGTGTCTTGCATGCTTTTCTTCCAACACTTTTTGAAATTCCGAGGGAAGCAGAAACAGTCGCGTATTGGCAAAAGGACAATTCATATGATGTACAGATTTATGAAATATGAGGTTGATGAAATAAAAGTTACATAAAGATATTTTTACAATTTTTTGTCCGTCAGCCTTACTAAGGCCATGGGTCAAGAAGCTGGGTGGCTGTACCTTCGAGACCGGACCAATGGGGCAGAACAATGAAGGGCGAACTCTTCGATTCCCATGATCTGCACCGCCTACACCTTCTCTTCTTCGCCCTGCAACACGACGGTGATGCCAAATGACAACAAACAGAACTCGCGGGACAAGAAGTAAGGGGCAAATGGGAAACATCTACATAGTAGCAGCAGGACTGTTCACTGGCCAGCGTCACTGAAGACCCACGTTCCTGCAGCATTACGTCTAAACTTGACTTTCGCGGGCGTTGGTTCGATCACCTTCAAAGCTGTGCCTTAAGGTGGTCAGGCGCCGAGAAAAACCGAGAAATCTGATAGGGTCACAAGCAACCCAATGCTGACTTGGTTGTACCGGGCGCCAAGCGATGAGCCATCACTCGCTGGACTATACGACAGACGACCTCTTTCATTCGCAGTCACAGCGAATCTTTTACCCACTAAAGAAAGCCCGCCCTGACCGTCAGTTCGCCTGACTGTTCCTGATGATAATGACTCAAATTAATTTGCCGTCAAACCAAACGGGAAGGGTCACTGCCCCGTGGCTCAGAACCAATACGATGATGAGGTCTATGCGAAGATCAGGAGGACTATCAGCCTTACACATATATGCTGGATGATATAAGACTAGACAGTGGAAAACTACCGCAATTATCTCCGGGCTTATTTTGTGAACTACTTGTCTCTGTTTCGGTTTTTCTCAGTGCAGATCACTTTGGAGTCACTTAAATTATCAACTATCATCGCTCGGTTGAACGCTATACCTTTTTCCTCTACTTTAACGCCAAAAGATCTTTTGAGACAACATCAGGATGACTTCACCGAAAGCTCAAACAAAGCATCCCCCCGTTATCCAGAAGCTCGAACGCTTAGGAGACCGCTCGTGGAGGAGAGATTCGATGCTATACTCCCTGACCTCCTTCCTATGGAAGCAGCCTTCGCTGCAAGCAGTAGATACCCGCCATCATACCGTGTGGTTGTTCGATAATACCGCTTATCTACGCGCGACCCCCGTTGCTAAGGGGCAGAAGGAATCGTGGCACGCGGAAGTCGTGGCTTGCGTTTTTCGAAGGGACAGCCGGAAGGATATGAGTAAGATCGTTGCCATGATTGCGGACCTCATTGGCCTCGACGGAGAAATAGGCACTGAAAGGGAGATACGTCACCAAATAGCGCGACGGTTACAACCTTTCCTATATCACGTTATGCCTGCACATTTGATGATGCTCGAGATTCCTCAACCGAATAGCACTACAATCATCCAGCAACTTGGTCCCACAAACAGCAATGGCATCAGCAGTCAGGTGGTGAATATGGGAGGCGGTCGCATTGCAGATGGGAATATTGTGCGCTCGTATCTCCGTGGCTCGAGAGGCAATATCGCAATGCAAACCTACTTCGCTGGCCCGAAAGGTTGGCTCGTGATATCGGACATCGACGATACCATCAAGTATACCAAAACCTCCGAGTCTACTGGAATTCTTCGAACAACCTTTGTCGAAGAGCCGAGGCCTATTGCTGGAATGCCTGAGCTGTATTCTCACATGCACAGGGAACTTGCACCAGCATGGTTCTATGTATCTGCTTCGCCGTACAACCTATATCCATTCTTGCGAACGTTTATTCATACGCATTTCAATCCTGGGACCCTAATTCTCAGAGATTCCTCATGGCTGGATGTCAGTGAACTGGTCAAGTCATTCACAGTAAATACCATGGAATACAAGGTAAAACAAATCGAGAAAGTTCGACGCCAGTTCCCTCAGCGAGAAGTCATTTGTATCGGCGACTCAACACAACAGGATCCGGAAGCATACGCGGAGATCTATAAGAGGCACCCGCACTGGATCCGTGCTATTTGGATCAGGAAAGTCACTGATGTCCCACATCTAGAAGATCAAAATTCTCCGGAGAGGTTCGAGGCAGCTTTCGAGGATGTTCCCGACCGAGTATGGAAGGTGTTTGAACAACCTGAAGCAGTGTTCGACTTCGTGGGTAATTTGAACGTTAACACTACCACGCATTCCTCTCACGAGACGCATTAACCGCAAGGATTTATTCACAATAACTGGTTTATCCTGCATGGTGTGTTGCAACTTTCCGGCGAAGTATAAAAGGTTGTTGCTGATATAAGCGGAAGGAGACCCTCGTTACGTCAACATGAGATTATCTGCAGCGATTTCCCCACAGCTCTCACTCTGAACTTTACTACCAAACAAGCTGCTCTCATTAGAGAGTTGCGAAACTGACTTCATGGGACGGTCATAACCGTTTTCAACGACCCTGTGGTGCACAATACTGCAACTGAGGGTCGAAGCCTGTGTTGGCGGGTTATATACTCGTTGCCCCGGCCTAGGTTATAGTCTTCATCTAGAGTAGAGCACACACCGACACCGTATCACACATATGCTATACACTAAACCATAATGAAGCCAGCGAAGCCCTTTTCTACCACAATGGACGAGCAGACGTTCGTCCCGAAGACTATGAGAGCCCTATATCACCGACCGGCTTCTACTGCCATCACCGATCAGACAGCTTTGGATGCGCCCAGGGTGGATTCGGGGATTATCTTCGACACGGACTTCCCAGTACCGAAGCCAGCAGCAAATCAGTACCTCATTAAGATTCAAACAGCTGCTTTCTCTCATGACGGACTAAGACTCGCTCGAAGCCTTCATCCGTCGAAATCAATCCCTCAGATTCCCCTGCACAACTATTGTGGCATAGTCATCAGCACTCCCACCGAAGATCACGATAAACCAGATGGCCCAAAATTCAAAGTCGCCGACACTGTCTTTGGGCTCATTAGCAACACCCGCGACGGCGCCGCGGCAGACTATATAGTCGCAACCGAAGATGAGATCGCGTTGAAGCCGAAGAACATCAGCGCCGCCGAGGCATCTACCATCCCTGGACCTGCTCTCACAGCATGGCAGGCTTTGTTCACATACGGGGGCCTCGACCCCAGCGACGCGCGTCGTAAGCTGCGCGTTCTGGTGACTAACGCCCGTGACAACGAAGTCGCTGCCCAGGCGCTCCAACTGCTTCGGGCTCGATCTCTATTTCCACACCACCGGCCATGGATCTGCACCACCTGCTCATGCCCGGAACACGACGACTTTCTGCGCGATCATGTCAAAGTGGACGAGGTTATCGACGCCGCGCTCCCCTTACCACAAGACTTCGATCTCGCCGAGATTTTCCGCAAGAACAAATGGGATCCAGTCGACGTCATCCTCGACTGCGCCGGAGAACAGATGTTCAGCCTCGCCCACTCATCCGACGTCGTCAAAAACAACGGTGTCGTCCTGACCGCCGTAGATGACACAGCAGTACAGCCCCAAAATGCTGACAGGGAAGCCCAGACCCAGAAACACGGCCTGTTCAGTCGATTCGTTGCCTTGAAACCGGACGGTAAAGCCCTAGCTCGTATTGCAGAACTGGTCGAAGAGGGTTCCATCCGTGGCCGGGTCCAGAGTATCGTGGATCTGGCCCATGGGGTGGATGTCCTAGCGGCTGAGGCAGCTGGCGCCGGTGGAGGCAGGAGAGGAGGAATGATGGTCTTCCGGGTGAATATTTGATGTCTCTATTATTTCTCTGTCTCATATTTTCGTATAGTTCTTTTACTTGTTTGGTCACATTCAGTATGTAGAATCATTTCATAGCATCGAGCGGCATTTAGTTGAATTTTCTGATTCTCATGTAGAATGCTACACTGTTAACTTCATAAATCGTAGCCTAGACTCAAACCGTAATCTACGACTTATTCCAACTTAAACACACATAACCAGAGACGTAGAAAACAAACCCTAAACATGATTTATATCAATAATACTCACATTTAATAACAACATACCAGAACATAGAGGAAACAGTTCCCAAACCACAGCCACATACACGAAAGAAGAAAGAGGAAAATAGTCAAGTTCAAGCATACACGCCTCAAGAGAACGATATAGTCAATACTTTCCTTCCATGAACCTGGTATACACAAGGGAAAAGGTAGGTAGTAAAAGAGGGAGTAAGACACTGATCCTCAGATCAGAGAAAGAGAGATATGAAACGACAGCCATCAATGAATAGACATCATAAAGAAAAGAAGTTAATTGATTGATTCATTAGATGGGCGAAAATCGGTAAATAAAGTAAGTTCGTAGACAAGAAGGGTAAAAAGAAACATGAAAAACAGGACGGAAAACAAGGGAAATCATGAAGACACTGTTCCAGCCTATTCTCCTACTTTATCCCTTTTGTCTGTTGCTCTTTCGTTTTTCAAATCCCTTGAGCCGCAAACCAGTTGGGCTTCGTTTTTATATCAATCGGGATATAGAATGCGGGTCTGGTGAAAGATGATGGCATGGTTGGTTGTGTTTTTCCCTTTCTCTTGTGCTTTTTCTGGTTCTCTTTGTCCATGAGTTTGGCTTGTGTTGATGGCTAGGTATGCTTCGTGCGCGGTTCTATGGTATACACATGCCCTTATCATCTGAACAGAAAGGATATGCTGGTAATGCTAACGTGGTCCACGGGAAAGAAAGACAAGAACAAGCAGACAAGAACAGATCGATGGAGATCAGATAAATCGAACATTTCGTAGAATAATGCATTGGACCGTATTCGACGGCTGAATCATATCAAGTCACTTCGCCCAATTCCAACCGCATGCCGGAAACTACTGCTAAGTAGCCAAAATAGCAAAGGAAAAGAAGAACTCCTGCTGAAATTTTCTGGGAGAGGGATCTGGGGGAATAAGGAAGATGGACGGAGAAGGCAAAGGGTGGAAGGACATAGGAGGGTGATAGATGTAAGCTCCTAAAGTAGGGAATCGAGTCTAGTAAAAACGCTCAAACATGCTGCAACAATCTGTGAAGTTTTCGTTAGTGGTTGCAAATCAATACTCTGCAGAAGGAAAACGAGCATACCTCCAACTGAAGCTCTCTGTCCTTAGCCTTGTTCACCTCTTCGTTGATTGCCCCCGCCAAATTAGCCCCAATTGCCTGCGAGCCACCCGCCCGCCGGGCAAATGGCCACTGGGAATACTCTGCCAGTAGCTCATCCACCTGCGCAAAGGCTCTCTCCCGAGCCTCGTGGCTCATTGTGACCAGAGCGTTTTCCAGTACATTCGCCGCGTAAGCTGCGCATACCATCGTGATCGTCCGCAGATAGCGGAACTCGGAGTCCTCGGGAAGCCACTGGTTGGACGGGAGAATCACTGTTCGATTACTGCACACATTGCGCACCCGACGGTGGAGGTCGTCTTTCGCGCCGCCGTCGGCGACAGGATGTGTAGCCATGTCAAAGAGGAGGAAGTTGCGTTTCTCGGTACGAAGAATGCCCTTGTCGACAAGGCCCTTCGCCAGGCGTTCGCGCACTTGCTTCAACTGGTAGCCAATCTTCATCAAATTCCATGTTTCACCTGCCATGCGTCCCCCGTTAGTACCCTGGGCCTTCTCCATCATCGAACATAGAGAGCATCGGGTCGTACGTACCACTCATGAGGTCAATCCAGGAGTTCACGCTCATCTTCTCGCTCGACTTCATCATCTTCAACGCCTCGTCCAGCAAGACCTCCCCAGTCAATGTATCGTCGACGACTTCAATCACACGATCGGCCAGGGGAAAGCGCCGTCGAGAAGAATCCTTCTGCATGCTAATCCGGCCGCGGAGGGCCAATTCAATCACAATACACCCTCTCAAGGCGTACGAAATGTTCTCGTTCCAGAAAGACAGATAACCCTATAGATTCCCCGAACCGGTGTCAGCATTCAGATTGGGTATCGCAACGCGCCATTCCCCTGCGTAAACGAGGTAGACGAGGGCGGAAAACCAACCTGTTTATCTTTCAACCCCAGCAGTAAAACTTCCTCCATCAGCGTCAGCTTGGGCTGCTTGCTTCGTTCCTCGGTCTCGCTGAGGTCTCTGGGGTCGAATGCGATCTTGTGACCATTCTCGGTACTGGTGAAAGACGTCTCGGGAATACGGTTATCCAAGGAAGAGCCATTTCTGGAGATCGGAGAGGAGACTCTGCTGTCATCGTTCTCGTCTGCGCCAGCGACTCGACCGCCACCTCTTCGGCGAGTCAAGCCCCCGGCTGAGGCCATGAGGAGATAGGGGATCGGAGTTCGGGAGCGGAAAGGAGAGCGAAAGAACGGTCGGGAAGAATGTCAGGAACCGAAATCTATACCGCTATGACCTGCGACATAGACCGTTTACCAGTTCTTTGAAGGTAACGTGGTTGACGGGTGAGGAAAGAATACCCCGAAAGTTTGCTGAGCGGGAAATTGTCAGGGGGGAGGGGAGGAGTGGGAGGAAGAAGACGAGGAGGAAGAAGGACACGAGGCGGAGAGTGTGCAACTGGAACTGTCCCGAAACGGTCGATCGATAGGAATTAATTCAGGCTGACCAGATAGAATCCCTTGCGCCAAACAGACACCAGAATAAAAACCCCAATAGTGTTTTGGAGTTAAAAAGAAATTCTCGATTGATATTAAGTTACGCCCATTCCAACTTTTGTTCCTCCCTTAGCGTCAATGCTTCTCCGGTGACGGACCACAAAAAACATGTCATAATTTATCTAACTGGAGAGACCCATAAATAGTCCAATCTCTATAGAAAGCATTCTCTCTCTCTCGCGCGTGCGCGCGCAAATATTCTCCCATTGAATAAACCATGACACATATAAAGAGAAGACCATTGCACTAGAGGCTTTCTTTCCTATCCTTTTATATATGCCTTAACTTAATGTTTTATTTTGTTCTTGTCGACTTGTTCCGCTCCACGTCATCCTCTGTGAAGGTTGTCAAAGCAACCCGGTTTCAGAGCCTCCCTTAAATCGTCTTAATTTCAAGACGGTATATACAACATGTTCAATGCATCTTGAGACCCGCGTCAATTCGACCACCGACCATATAATACTAATCCTACATGCTAGGGCGGTTGGTATCAGAATACTGGCGCATAACGAGGTCAACCAGAGACCCAGTAGCAACCCACTCCAGAAGTAATCAATCAAACTGCATTCAAGATGATATACACGATATAGTAGGGTGAAACAACACTGGCATGTATCAGCATACAAGTAGCGTTTCCACGCTGAGACCCCATGTAGATGCACGCCACCATCCCCTTGTTTTCTATCTAACCCGCAAAATCATTCAGACCTTCGTATTACATAATTTAGTGGGCTGCGATACCAGTTAGTCGGGGATAACTCATACACGTTGGCATTGTGGAAGCAAGATAGAACTTACCATCGGGCTGAGCAAGGATGTACTCAACAGCCTTGTCAACTGTAGCGAAAGATGAGTATATGGACAATCACCGCATTCTGCCCGTCAATGGGCCTCATTCAGATAAGACTTACCACTGTGAATGGCATCGGCATCCTTGTCGGGGATTTCAATGCTGAATTCCTGTTCGACGGAAAAATATCAGTATTCAACTCAAGGCCGGTATAATAGTAAATATGCTATATCCATACCTCCTCAATGGCCATCACAACCTCAACAGTATCCAAGCTGTCAAGTCCAAGGTCGTTTGCGAAGTGGGAGGAGCCGTTGATCTGATAGATTCAATCCCTTAGTTCACCGTTCTGTGTGCGGGTCTGAACTGGTCCGTCAAGCGCCCGGAGACGATGAATGTTAACTAACCTTGCTGGCATCGGAAACCTGTACAGTAATGAGATATATTAGCCATTGTTCAAGTTTCCCGTAGATGATTCCGGGATGGTCTTCGTTTCCGAGGCGGGAAAGTAACCCGACGTACTTTGTCAAAGTTCTTCAGGAGGTTGACTATCCGACCCTCAGCTTCCTTCTTGTCAAGACCGGCAGGAGCGGAGTAAAGACGGACGCCCTGGTAGGCAAAACGAGGAGCGAATTGAGCGGCAGGAGCGCTGCGGATCTGGAAGGTAGCCGGGGCCCTGACGGCACGAGGCACGGAGGCCCTCAAAGAGCGGACAACAGCGGAACGGAACATTATGTCGGTTGAAGAGGAAGTGAAAGAAAGGCGCAATTGCCTGGGAATAAAGTATAAAGAGAAAGGGCGGGCGGTGGTGACGAGAAAGTAGAGTCGGGAGTGGTAGGAAAGATGACTTTGGAGAATGGAGTTTCTGAAGTTCTGCTTTGGTGTTGCGGCTCGGGGGAAGCAAAAACCTGCGGCCGGCCAATCACGGGGCGGCAGAAAGAAATGACCTAAGCCGCCGGCAAACCACCAAAAGCGACTTTCGTGAACCTCTCCCAGTTGTCCTGTTCCCACTTTGACCCCCCCAATTGATTCCCCTCACCACTCTATTCCTCTTCTCCAGTTCGCTATCTCATCCCCCGCCATGGCCTCCTCGAAGTCGGTCGCGAGGCTGGTCGCCTACCGCCGGCCTACGCCTTCTCTGTTGACCTCTTCTTTCCGTCCCTTGGGTTCAACCGCAAACTTCTCTTCCTCGGTGTGCCGGGCTGCTACCCCAGCTGGTCCCCCTCCATCCGGTTTCCGTCTGGCTCCCCCCAAGAAATGGGACGAGACCACCGAGTCCTCCTTGGACAAGGCCAGCAAATACTTCCTCATGTCTGAGATTTTCCGCGGCATGTACGTCGTGTTGGAGCAGTTCTTCAGACCACCGTAAGTCGCCCTCTCCCGCGCATTATCATGATATTCCAGATGCCTAGGACCAATTGGTATCCCTTACGACCATCTACACCTGCAGTGTATCCTGGAAGCATGATGGGACAAGCTAGTTGCGATTCTCGATCGGTCGAATAGCTTAACTGATGTGATATCATAATCCAGTTACACTATCTTCTACCCCTTCGAGAAAGGTCCTATTTCTCCTCGTTTCCGTGGCGAACACGCCCTGCGCCGCTACCCTACCGGTGAGGAGCGTTGCATTGCTTGCAAGCTTTGCGAAGCTATCTGCCCTGCTCAGGCTATCACCATCGAGGCCGAGGAACGTGAGGACGGAAGCCGTCGGACGACCCGTTATGATATTGATATGACCAAGTGCATCTACTGTGGTTACTGCCAGGAGAGCTGCCCCGTTGATGCCATTGTTGAGAGTAAGCACCAGCCATCCCAGGATTATAGCTCTCGAATACCGTAACTGACATGCTGCGACACAGCTGCTAATGCTGAATATGCTACCGAGACCCGTGAGGAGCTGCTGTACAACAAGGAGAAGCTCCTGGCCAACGGTGACAAGTGGGAGCCTGAAATTGCTGCCGCTGCCAGAGCTGACGCCCCCTACCGTTAAAACAATACCGGCTGCTTTCATATCCCAAGGGCACTCTTGAATCAGGTGTCACATCACGTAAATCCACTTTAGAAGATGGGTTCAAAAGAATACTATCATAAAAATCATATAAGGGAAAGACAAAACTTTTCCTTGAGAGGATATCCAAGGGTCGACACCCTCATCTTCCCACTTTGTACATATCTAACGCTTAGCCTGCTTTATTACCAGATGTACTAGTCGGGTTCACAGGGGATCCCAGTCACTAGAATTCCGGCTCTGTTCTTTTATTGTCTTGATGTTGGAGGGAAATCCCGCATGGCTTGTTCTTGTTTTCTATACTGTTTTTGTTAGGGAATAAATCCGAGAATACTTCATTTTCCTTTGTTTCAAATCTTTAAGGGCCCCTACAAACGAGATGAGATAAAACCAAGAAAACTCCTTTGAAATTTATGAATATCAACAGGTGAATCGCTGCCTATGCACATATGCACAAATAACAAGATAACCCCCCAAAGAAGCCCAAACACCAGTTCCCACAATCCTCGATTTTCTTTTAGCTTTTGATCACTTTTGTTCTCCGCAGAGCAAGTGCTCATCATGAAGGGCTGCTGCGGAAGGATATCTTTCTTTTTAGATACATAAGTTGGTATTACATACTAGTCACTGTTCATTTCTTTCCACCGGATTTGCCCTTGAAGCTTCCCTCGAAGCCGGGTCTAGCTTTTTTCTTGCCTGCGGCGGGTTTCTTGCCCTTGTTGCCCTTGTTGCCCTTTTCTTCACGGCGTTTCCGGAGATTGTCTTCACGCTTTTGTTGCTTCATTTCCTTACCCTTGCGGACGGTCTCTATGCGCTCCTTCCATTCACGCTCGGACTTCTTCTTAGCGGATTCCTTGCGCTTAAGAGCCTTCTTCAGCAGTGAAGTATCATCCCGTACTCGTTCACCATGAGCGCGCTTCTTAGCGTTCAGCCACATGTCTTTCTCTTCGAGCTCAGCACGCTTCTCGTCGTCCATACTTTCCAGTCGGGCCTTCTTGGCCTCAACGGCTTTCAGGGCTGAAGCGGGGTCATGGGGGCCATGGCGCTTAGGCTGTTCGCGCACATTGTTCAGACTAGGATCAGCAGCCTGGCCGTCGGCGAAGACGACACGGCCAAAGGAGTAATTGGCGGCGCTAGAGCCCACCGACTCAGCTGGGGAGCGTGGCGAGGCAAGAAGAGAGCCCGAGCCACCTGGGGAGAAGCGGCGGGCCAATGCCTCGTCCTTCAGCCGTTGCTCTTCCTCCTTGGCCTTCTGTCGTAGCTCTTTCTTGTGCGCCTTGCGTTGTTCTGCCTTCTGTCTACGGGCCTCAATCAGCTCTTGGCGGTTTCTGGCGGGCTTGCCGTTCAGCCCGTCTGCGTGACGAGCTGCGCGGAGCTCATCAAGGCGCTTTTGTAGTCGTTGCTTCAGCTCTTCGGGTGTGGACTTGAGGGGCTTTTGATCGGATGATGAGCCCTTAGAGGCATCGTTAGGAACAGAAGGTGGGACAATAGAAGATATCGAAGAGGCGCCAGATTGAAGGGCGGAGGCATCGAAGCTAGGGGAGTTGGGGGTAGAAGAAGAGGAAGACTGTTCTGTTTGCTCTGGGTTAAACTCCAGAGCGAGACCTTCGGTTTCTTCTTCATCAGCGTCGTCATCATTATCGTCATCCTTTACAGGCGGCTTTTCTTGCTTCTTATTCTTATCATTGGCAGGCTTTGACTCTGGCGTCTGTGCAGCATCAGCAACAGGGGTCTTAGCCTCTTTCTCTTGCTGCTCTTTCAGCTTTTCCTTCTTTGTGGCTTCTTTAGCCTTCCTCTTCTCTTTTTGTTGCTCCTTCTTCTGTGCCTTTTTCTCTTCCTTTAGTTTCTTACGAGCTTCCGCCTCTTCCGACTTCGCCGGATCTTCGGATTGCTTCTGTTTCTTTGCCGCATCAGCCCGCTTTAGGCCTTCCTTAGGCATTTCTGAGCCGAGCTCTTCATCCTCAGATGATGCGGTCTCATTTTGACCCTCTTCTTGACGCTTGCGTTTCCGGGCGTTCTCTTCCATTACGTCTTTAGCAGTCTTCGCGGCATCGGGATCCAATTTCGCCCGTTTCGCCTCACGAGCTTCCTCTTTCGTCTGCTTCTTGCGTTGCCATTGGTCCTATGAAGGATATGGGTTGTCAGCCACACCTGGCGCAGAACAAGCCGGAGACCGTGGGGAAAACGGGACAAAAAGCATCAAAGACAGCAGGCTGTAGAATCACATACACTACCATCCTCCCCATAATAGTATTTCGCCGGGATCAACGACAAAAGGCCATCAAAAGCCTGGGCGTGGCTACGCAACCGTTCCTGTAGAGCCAAAAAAAATTTCCCGATCGTCAATTTTCAATTCTAGGATCGGTATGCAATACCACAAGAATCATAGACGAACAAGGGGAAGCAAGCCCACATACCTCGATATCATCCATTTTTCCCACTTGAATCGGAGATTCACAACAGCTCCGTTCCAGGTATTATGTAGGATTGGGTGATAGTCACCTGGAAGTTGAGGGGGGTTTTTTCGAAGTATGGACGCGATACTCTCGAAAAAATTGGGTGGGCGGTTCGAAATCTTGGCGTTCTTTTTCTCCGCTTGCTTTTTGCTGGTTGTTCACCGCCTGCCACATCGTGGGATTGCTGACTTATCATATCGATTATTCTAACTTTATTTTTGTTCAAGTATTCAGTTTAACTTCTCGCTAATAAATAAGAATGTACTAATCTAAGCTGGTCGATGAAAGAGATATTTTAGTCTGTCACTAGACGTTCTCCTACTATTACAGCATTTCTTCGTATGACACAGTGTACTTCACTCCAATATCAAGCTGATTGACCGCCCTACACCAGATGTCATTATTCTATTATGTTATACATGACAACCTAACAATAGGTCGAGAGTAAATGCCTTATTGATCCGACTCTTCCTTACTGAGATAAAAAAGAGCAAAAAGACATTCTACCTTTTAGTTCAACACAAATCCATGACGCAATTGGTATCCCGCTATAAATTCAATTCAATCCAATCCAGTCTTAGGATGCATACGCCTCCAAAGCGACAACACCCTGCTGTACCTTCCACACCTTAGCCAGTAAAGGATGTGGTGACATATATTTAGGAAAAGCCTTTCTCATATTCTGTACGCATTTCCTGTACTGCATCTAAACCCAGGCTAGTGGTTCCAGCCACGTAGCATATAACCACCTATGACCTCACTTATGGGTATAAAAGACGGAACAACACGCAATGAATTCTCAGAGCTCAACCATCAAATCCTCGGGCACATCTAACACCGGACAATCCTCACTCCGGATGTCCGTGATATTGTCATACGGGAACGGAATAGTCCAGATCAGATCAAACCTGCAAGAAAGCCTCAGTCAATATACAAAGCTCTTCTCATATAACCAAACGCTTCACTCCAGCTCTCCCACTACCCAAGACCAAAATTAAGAGGAATATCCAGGAAATCAAGACCAACATACCGATCTTCAGGATATTCAGGCGGATCATCATACCCCAACGCCTGAACCAACTCTCTCATCTTTCTATGTCGCCAGGAAATCAAGATATTGCCGGGTCCCTCATAATTGTTGACTGCTTCTGCCACGCAGTGGACTTTGTTCCGCTTGCAGGAGGTGTCGACGGTTAGACCGAGGTCTGTTGCTAGTGGGTGGACGGTCTCGTAGGAGCGTCTGTGTTCTCCTTCTATTATATTTGTTAGTTATCCTGTGTATGGGCAGGTATATTTCTTGTTCTTTGCGTTGTGTAGTGTCCAAATTACGGCGCGGGTAGAGTTGCAAAAGAATACTTGCTTT